TGACTTAAGTACACACAATCGACATGTTGATCAAATACAATTCCAGGAACCACGTGAGTCTGTTCCGATTTCAGTTGTTAATTCTAATACTAATGAGTGCATTTTAGAAAATACAGAGTCTTTATCCAATACATTGTCGGACAGACACAGCAGAAACTTGAGAAAAAGACGTACAATTGATTACAGACACTTAGACTCTAATTTAAGCTGTGGCGGATGTGGTGTTTGAATAAACTAATGATTGCTTTGTACTTGTTGAATGTTTGATTTCAAATTCTAAATACAGTACATTCGTTAGTGCTTGTGTAGTACTTCTTGATTCAATTGCGTTATTTCTGGGATTATTAGTTCATACTATAATTCAATTACTCCTAATTATAACAGCCACCCTCCCTCCTTTTGTCATGTTAGGCTCTCTTACGTTTGTAGTAAGTATACATACTGCTTTAATCAAAGCACATGGTTGGAATACACTGTCTCTACTAGTTCCATGTTACAAGCAAATCAGATAGTTAAAGCGTTTGTATTATAGGTTAGATGTCCATTTAGTAAATCACACTGCTATGAAGATAACTAATGGTGAAAGATAAAAAAACAGGTTAGAATATATGTGGCTTAAAGATAGTAGGACTAATAGCAAATCAAATCATATGAAAGAGCATAAAATTGTAAAATTTTTAGGGTAAGAAAAATAAACCATTGAACAACTCACAAGACTTTATGATCAATTTTGAGCTTCGTATGATCAGTCATAGTATATCAGCATCCATAAGATTTGTGAGTTATCTGTCTACTTGCAATAGAAAAAAAAGACATGACACTTAAAAAGAAAAATGTATATTTAACCAGTAGAGAGATTTGGGAACTGAAAGTGAGGGTTAGGAGCATTAGGCCTTGATTAATGGACAATGAATAATAGGAAACGGCAAACCATATGTCCTGTAATTTAGTTGTATTCATATTAGTAATAGTCGGGCTCGTTATATTCTTGTTCAATTTAGATATTAGGCCGCCCATAATAAAGTGCTTCATTGGTGGACGGGAGTTCAAGGAAAGATTGAAGCTTTTTAGAGTCTAGAAACAGGGTTATTAGCTTTTTGAATCTGGTTAATGTGTCACAGTTACGGATAGGCAATGGCAACCTGTTCCATAATAAACTATACCGTACTGTAAAAAACTTTCAACGCACTTGTTTTTGGTGTTTTACGGTGTGTAGTGTATATGCGTTGTTTCTTAGTCTATAGGCTGGGTCGTGAATCATAGTTGGGCAGGAGGTTACAAATGGGAGTCCACATATCGCTTTGTAGAGAAATATTAAATTATTCTTTAGCCTGCGGTGCCATAAAGGTTCTAATTAGAGGTGCTTACATCTATCTGTGTAGTCGGCATTCGAGTTACTTCCTAGCAGTTGGCGTGTGAAGCGTTTTTGAACGTCTTCTACTCTTATCTTGTCTGTGGTATTCATATTAGAGAAGATAAAAGAGCAGTTCTCCAGGGAAGGTCGTACACATATTTTATAGGGAGTAAGCTTAGCCTCTGTTGTGAAGAAATTTCTCATTATGAAGCCAATTTGCTGTCTACATTTAGAAATAATAGATGATGCATGTTCTTCAAAGTTCAGACTTCTTGTGTAATTAATACCTAGATCGTGTACTGATTTGAGTGTCTCGACTCTACTTTTATTTAAATCAAGTTGCAGTTCATAGGGATGCTTTCCAAACTGCATGATCCCGCATTTGTTGAGGTTAAATGGTAATTGCTATTTCTCACTCCAGTTAGTTAAGTTATTGAGGTCATTTTGGATCAGGGGTACACTTTCGTTCAGGGTCTCAGGCTTATAAGTGTATACTATCTTGAGATCATCGGCATATAAGTATGGTTTCCCAAATGTTGTGGTGTTACATATATCGTTTATATACATAAGAAACAAGAGTGGGCCTAATACGCTTCCCTGGATGACTCCACTAGTTATTGGTCTAGGTGATGAGAGACAGTCATTGTACTTTACAATATGTTTACGTTCGGTTAAGAACGAAGCATACCATGAATACAGTGGGTCGTTTATTCCGAAGGACTTCAGTTTGACGAGAAGCCTTTTATGTGGGACCTTATCAAAGGCTTTTTTAAAGTCTAAGAATAGGACTGATACAAGGAAACCGTCGTCTTTTTTCAGAGCTATATCATTCAGGTAGTCTACTAGGCATGTATCGCATGATCTTGACCTAAGAAATCCATGCTGGGAGGTCGAGATGAGATTATTAGTAAGTAGATGTTGGACTACAGCCGCCTTAACTACTTTTTCTATCACTCTAGATACCACTGAAGTTATGTTTATGGGTCGGTAATTGTCAACATTTGCTTCACGTCCTGTTTTAATTTTCGGAATGATATGTGTAGTTTTCCAGGCAGTAGGGTAACACGGTTCGTCTGTTGATTTGATATCCGTAGACTTTGGCAAAGCATTTGACAAGGTTCCACATTTAGATCTTATACCGAAGCTCGAGAGCTTCGGAATAACAGGTGCTATGCAGGAATGGATACGAAACTTCTTATGTGGCCGCAGTCAGAGTTTGGGATCAATGGAATGCCATCCAAATGGAAGCCAATCAAAAGTGGTGTAGTCCAAGACATCATTTCTGGTCCCGACTTTTCCTTCTCCATGTCAACGAATTACCAGTACTGCATAAGTCGTCGAGATTATTATTTGCGGATGATGTCAAAATCTGGACAACAATAAGCAGTGGGGCTGATTATTTTGATCTCCAGGCTGACCTAGACGACTTAGTTAGACGGGATCGATATTAGAGCCTGAAAATTAATTATGGGAAAAATATGCTCATGAGAATAGTTATCATCATACTATTGATGGTACACCTCTTCCACCCGTTCAACAGTATAAAGACTTGGGAGTAATAATAAGTCACGACCTGAAAACAACTACGCATCGCAACGCAACATCCGCCAAAGGATTTCGTGCGTTATGACCACTTTGCCGAGCATTCGAATACTTTGACGAGTAGATGTTTCGAATTTTATATCCGAGCAATATAAGATCACATTTAGAGTACTGTATCCAAGGGCTGCAATTAAACGCAACTCAACTTCGTAAATGTGCCCTTCAGCTTAGCAATCAATCAGAATGAGGCGGGAATCATTATATCCGCCATCTTTGTAAGCAATGGCGGTCGGCTTTCTTCGTTCTGTGCTTCTTTCAGCAATTTCTTTTGTGTAGCTATGTAATTTAATGTTTCGGTGTGCTAAAATGCCTCAGTTAGTGCAATGTCTTATATGTTGGTGTGAAATTTACTTCGAATCAGCTATTTTTCTGGGTTTTTGCTGCTTCTACTCAAGTCAATATATTTCTTCAATCAATCTGGCTAGTCTTGTTATAAAATGTTAATGCGTTTTGTTTTGAGTTTTTTTTCAGATATCAGGAGCCAAGGTTAGTTTTGTTAGCTTAAATAAGTGTTGCGACTGTATGGAACTCGAAATGTCGACATAATCGTTTCTAATTAGGAACGATCTTCCAGTCGTCAAAAAGACTCTTAACACTTGTTCACAGCCAGCAGCATTTAATTAAGACAGAGCACACCTCATCTAAGACTGTATATTGCTGTTTTGCAGGCAATTAAAAGCTCAGACAATAAGCTATCCTGCTAACGATGTTATTGATGGGGAAATCGTTTAATGACAGTGGTCTTGAAACATGGACAGTGTTAGACGTACTGTTTAGAAATAAACAACAAACGTACTTAAAGCTATCAAATAATGTATGACAGCAACAGTACCAAAGGCTTTTTTCCCTATTTTTAATCAGACTGATTTGAATCAGTATACACATTAGAAACAGGCAGTTCTACTTACTAAACTGATCTGTTTCGTTACAGGCTTCAAGCAATAAACTTAAGTATACCATAATTCTTTCGACTAAACTGAATTATCCGACAACCAAGAATACTAAACTAAGCAAATGTCATAATTATTGCATCATTTGTACAGACATGTTGCTCAAAGTAGTTAAATGGACATAATTCAGCCGATAAAACCAAAACACGAAATATAGGCCGGTCGAACTTACCTAACAGAAGACAAAGCATATATATATTGCTTTCAGACTGAAGACAACAGTCAGTTGTTCATAAAATCATACTTTACAGTACAACAAACCTACCTTCAGTAACATCATGCACTGACGGTCTATCTGGAAACAATCAACTATGAGAATAAACTCACTATGACCTGGGATATCAATCCAGCGTGCAATGAATGTACAGTGTAACGCAGTCAGACGTGGCGAAAAAAAATTATAACCAGAGCAAAATTAACAACATAATCTAGTTGATTAATTAAAAATACATTATGAAATGACAAAATCTGTGGTTACTTGAACGCACAGATTACTCTGGGCGATACATTAAGTTTACATGGTTGCGTTGTGGATAAATTCACCCGTATCCAAGCTGCTGACACATGTCTGACTAAGAATACTAACTCACTTGAGCATGTTCAGAATTTAGGAAAAAATCAGTGAGGGGTCCTTCCAAACTCCTTTACGATGAGCGTTTAAAACGCCTAAACCTTTTCCCCTCGTCGTATCATTGGACACGAGATGATCCTGTATTGGTATTTCGTGTCTTTAATTACAATTCGAGCGTTAATATGTTTTATCTTCTTGTTCCCTCCAGCACTAGTATTCTCTGAGGTCATAGGAGGAAGACTCACAAAGCGCGATCTAATAAACTTAAAGTGTGGTTCCCTTTTTCTCATAGAGTGGTTAATGACTGGAACGCCGTACCCGAACAAGTGATATCAGCCCCATTAGTGAATATTTTCAAAGTGAAGCTGGACCTTCACTAGAAAGCGAATTGCCAGGGTTAACACAGGTCCAAATACCTTCTATCCCTAATCCTGAAGAGCGAAAATATGAATGACCTTATGGCAACGCTACAGTGACCTTGAGGCAGCATTGAGGTCAAGTGAGGGGTGCGACCACAAATTGTGGGTGAACCAATCACGTTTGCGATAACAGGTCTCAGATTTTGGCGCGAAATCCATTCACTCATTCGGCTAAATAGAGTCTTGGCATTTTTGCTGATGTCTGTTCGTGATGAAAACCCTGAATCTAATTCCTAATCCTAACCATCAACTTTAAATCATAATCCTTATTCTTCAAACTCCTTTATAACCCTCATTTAGCCATAGTAAGTTAGTAGACAATCTGTGGAGACATGTCTGCCCGAGCTCCCAATTTTGGGGAAAATTTTACCTATTTTGGGGATATTTTGGGAAAATTCTGGGGAAATGGCAAAAACCCCAAAATTTCCCCTGACCTTGGGGATGTTCCCCGAAATTTCCCCAAAATTGGGAGCTTGGGTAGTATCACCTTTTGTAGCTTTTTTCCTCTAGTATTTTTTTTGCTGATATTGTAAACTAGTTTACAGAATTCGAAGTTCAACTTCATCACAACGTTTGCTTGCAGGCTTCAGAACAGTATTTTCTGCCGGTTATTTTTACCAACGGAAGTATCAGTAGAGCTATAGCTCCGGCCCAATCTCCCAAGTTTGGGGAAATTCCCAAATTCAAATGACCTTCACCAAGGTTAAAGGAGAATTTTGGGGAAATATTGGGGTTTTGGTGCCATTTCTTCAAAATTTCCCCAAAGTTTACTATAGCGACTTCCCCGAAATGGGTCAAATTTCCCCAAAATTGGGAGTTCGGGGATATATTGGATTTTCTAGACAATATTCCCTTATCGGAAGCTTATAAAAAATTAAAGCAAGCGACTATTTAGCCCGTCTTGGTGTCCGATCTGTAACTACTACAAAAACTACCGAACGAGTGTGAACTATAGCATAGTCTATCGACCCCAATATTACGAGAGATGGAACAACTAATTCGACTTCACAAAGTTGACGGTGCTTTCCTAAGAGGAATTTGAATGCAGCGTTCACCATTATCAGTAAGACAAGTCTTTTGCGTTTGGAGCCAGCCTTAAGACTGGCTGTAATTTCAGACTAATTTTCTAGTTAACACCAGAGTTGTAGTCGCTGTAATCCCAGACACGCTAGCCAGACTACCTATACATAATAACAAACAATCATTATGTACAGCGAGCAAAATGGAGATTAAACATTCGGCGAGCAAGTACTCATTTTGGACCTCGGAATTAGACATCAATTAAGTTGGGATATAAAGTTCGAAACATTTCTCTTAAAAGGTGTTGTTTTCAAGTCATGGCTTACAATTTCACTTCTATCCTTCTGTTGTGGAACCTTCGGAAGTGTTTTTCCCTCTGTACTACGAAGTTTGTTATGTTTGATCTAAGTTCATACTCCTTTTTCAAAGTTTATTCCTATGGATGAACTTTCAAACCACCTTACCAATTCGTTCAAATCAGTTTAAAGCTCTAGCCTTTCGGAATCAGTACATATTACCCTTTAAATGTTTATATCATTGGTAAGTAAAAGTGATGACGATTTAAAATTTTTGATATTTGTCGACGTAAAGTAGCCATACCAGAGGACCGAAAATAATACTTTGAGGCACTACATTGTACAGGCTTCCATCCGGAAACCACCCATTCACTCACTTTACCTTCTCACTCATATAAGCAGCTTCTCATCCAGTCTTGCGTTTTCCTCTTTTTTCTTAAGTTGAAAAGCCTCTGCATAAGTCCTGAGTGAGGCATCTTATCAGACCCCTTGATGTGGTTCTTGAATACTACATCTTCAGGCAGACTGGAGACCGAATGCCACACTGGACACATAAGAGAACGTAGTGATCCCTTGAATTCTTCATCTGTATTTAACATCCCATCTTTTGTCATTGTTTTCCGTATTGTAGGACGTATTTAATACATCCTAAATGCTGATGTTGCAGAATGCCGTTACAGAAGAGTCAGTCAAATCTCTACAGAAACGTTCATTTGTCCTACACTAAAAAGATCGACATACAAATCAAGGAAGGTAAATTGAAACATGTATGACATCACTCTTCAAAATTATATCAATAACTTTTATGTTGAATTCTTACTAAATGTAAATCTATTGTTATCATTGGTGTTACTTAACCTAGTATTATAATCTTTCGTGTTCTCATTTCCTAACGGAATTAGTACTTTAACAAAATTTTCATATATATACCATTGTACAGCTTGATAATAAATTCTTTGAAAAGAGATCCTTTCGCTGAACTTCATGTTTTTACTTTTTAATGTTTAGATGGGAATTATCTGTCAATTTTGAATTCTATCTGTTCACCGGCAGTAGCCATATAAATATCACTATATCTGACACTGTTCCCGTCAGTGTTTCGGGACCATTTTTATGATGCGATGACTCACTTGCTGCACTGTTTTTCATTGAATATTTATATGTATCTCATTATTAACATCATTACACTAAGTGTAAAATGGGCAGCCTTCCATGGTTGTTTTTGCAAGTACGTAACAATATTGTTTTTTCTCTTTAGTGCACTGTTATTGTGTTACGGTGAACGACTGGATATCTAACTACATAGCAGCTGTGTAAAAATCAAAAACAGTTTGGATGTCGTTTGATTCGAAGACTTTTATCAATATATCTCCCATTTTTATTCTTAATAAACAAGCTCATCTGCTTAAAATAGATTTATCCTGGACTTGTGAAGAAAGTGGTCCATTCCATAACAAAGTGTTTCGTGTCAGTGTTATTGTAAATCACCATAATCTAAAAAGTTCTGAGATATATGATGGTGTTGGAAGCAGTGTCAAGGAAGCTAGACGGATGGCTGCTGAAAGTGCGTTACAAACTTGTATTTTATTTAAGTACAATGCTGGTTCAAGTAATGGGGCTCTACGAACGGAAGGACCGTTTATAACACCGCGAAATGTAAGTCATGCAAGGATTACATTTTCTAATTACCTCCTTAATTCAGGTGTTTAGAAATCGCTTAGTAATCAAGGTTCTGCACTTTTAACTTATTTCACATGCTTGAACTTGACTCTACTCTTTATGGTTTGGTCATAAGCTCAGTGTTACTGACTTATAAATAATAATGGTCCATAAAATTGAGTTTATGAAACCATGTCAGATGAATTAATTTACTTTAATCTTAAATCAATGACATCAGAATTCATGTATTCGAAATTTGAATGAAATATTAATAAATCATTTGTTATAAATTTTTCACAAGAATGTTTTATGCTTTCTTCATACTTTATATGTAGGCCAATCCTTTCATTATTTTGATTAATTCTGATCCAACATCTTTAGCTCCAAAAGTACAGCTCAGGCAACTGCTTAATTTACTTGGGTCGAAGGTGAAATTTGTTCATTCAGTGGGTGATGACAATAATAGTTTAGTAAGAAATATTTATATATCGTGTTATTGTTTATATCTGTCAAATTATTGTAGTATATTTACCACTTTATTTGTTAATTTATCTTAGAAAGCAAGCCTCTTGACGGACATAATTCAGTCTAACGGAAATTTTCATCAACACTGTTGTGACGTCTTACTTTTCTGAGGTCCACAATATATTCTGTTCATTCTGACATTTTCAAATAACCTATTGTCAAGATTCAGATGTATGGAGTATCCCTTATCTCGGAGAACTAATTTAATGGTTCATTCTCCTGCTTATAAAATGTAGTAGTTTTGGAAAGTTTGTGACATTAACTCCATCAAATTTAAAGTTTTAGAATATTACCTCCAAAAAGCACTAGTTGAGTATGTTTTACAGATGGTCAAAGGTTTGTTCACTCTTGCTCACTCGATTCATGAGCCTGTGCTACATAATTATTTACTAGGTTTTAAATTATCAGCGTCGTTTTTCTGTTGTCATTATCAAAATGTACAACTCACTTCGGTTAAATTAATTTTGATATTCATATTTGTGTAAAATGATACGACTTATCATCATCATATTTAGTATATAAAAGCCACATAGCTTATGAATCGACGTAATTGGTTGAATATGCTTGTGGCGGAATGAGTTTTTATATTACAGTAAGTTCGGTGTTCTCAACTAATTTCAAGAATGTAGTAAGTTTGGCTGAGTTTGACAGAATGCTTCATTCAGTTGGTTTTAATTCTTTAACAATTAGTCTCCTGTCATTATGTCCTGAAAATCTCAAGTGTAGTTTGGTGATGATTTTAAATTCTTAATGATTTTGTTGCATTATCGGGATATTTCAGTGTCATTTTAAAAGGTATGTTATGCCAAAAGTCATCAGACTCGTCTAGCTATCCAATAAACTTCTTATTGAATAAATTATCACACGGATTTTGACTTAATTATCATGATCGAATACAAATTTTGTGTTGATATTTAGCCTTATTCATACTGCATATCTATTAATGGATATAATTTTAAAGTAGAAATTAACCACAGGCTTTCTAAGAATTTCTTTAATTTGATGTAAGTCCTCGATGTTTCCGAAATTTTATTATGGTTTACACTTGTTAAATGAATTTGTTTACTCAAAATACTTATGATTATTTAAAAAAGTGTATTATTTGATTTCTGGTTTGTAAATAACTGAATTTTGTTTTTTGTGTTTCTGTTTATCCGATAGCGTCCTATCATGTATAGAGCGACAGCGGAGATCGTCGGTCGACAATATGTTGGAAATTCAACCACCAAATCAGGTGCTGAACAAGAATCATGTTTATCAGCTTTAATGGTACGTATATATATATATATATATATATATATATATATATATATATATATATATATATATATATATATGCCTTGATTAATGCGAAGATAATTACCTTTGGATGTTTTGACGCTGCTACATTGGTTCAAGGTTTTTATCACTTTATATTCATTGGTTTTATCGTACCTGATGCTTATTTGTATAAGCATGCTGGTATACTAATATTTTTAACCACATTTTATCCAGCATTATTGCTATTGCCTGACTGTTTGCCTTGTAGGAAGTGAGCAAAGTGTTAAAAATAGAGATGGCAAGGAATAGGGAAGTTTAGGATCTTAATTACCTTCTCTAAATTGTTTTTACCTCTCCAACTTTATCCTTTCTTTATAAAAATTCTATCAATTCCTTTAAATTACTTAATAAGAGGATGGATTAAATTATCCTATTTGTTTGTTGCTTAGTTATTTAGTGAAGTTATATAGGGATTTTCATTTCAGGATTTAATAATTTGTTGAGTTTTAACAACAATTTGGTCGGGAAGACATTTAAAATAGAAACCGAATGTATTTCTTATAATTGACTGAGATATAAAATTGGGACAAAGGAACGTTTCCTATTTTCAGTTTATTGCACCGACGTCGTTAATCATCACTAACTGATGTTATAAGCTCAATCCGAACCTTCTGTTTGGACTTCTAGTCATTTAGCAGGTGGTGGCTTATGTACTCGGCTTTGAACTACACTGCTTTTCTGGGAGTTAGGGATTCTGTCTGACCTCGCAAACTGCATTAGAATGGAGTAGTAGGGTTTGAACATAGGTCCTGTTGGTTGAAATCCGAATTTATTAACTACTAATCTGCCATGTACGCCCCCTTGGTCTATTTATAGTCTAAGTAAATTAATGTTACATCTTGTAAACATAATTAATGGGGTTACCGGCTATGGATAAATATGTATCCTAAATATCCGAAGTGATATAGCTTTTGAATATTGTCGGATAAGTAGTCTTTGAATGTTTTATATATTGTTTTGTGATTGTTGCGTAGATACCATTAGAAATGACTGTACAGTATACCATTATCTAGTCTTAACAATCCTGAATACAACGAGCTGTTATATTGTACATCGTCATAGAAGTTGCAAGTGATTTGATTTTTAGAACGTCCCTAAATTTTATCGCCTACACCATGTTTACCTTTATACAGCTAATCATGGCTTGTTCGTCCAGTTGGTGGAGATCGTCTAGAATATTTAGGAAATCCACTCTGAACAATGTGTATCAAATTTGTATCAATAATTCCAGTGAATTGTTTCCACCACTTATAGTTAAGAATCTATGCTGAACGGTCAAATTTATCTTTAGCAATATCTTCATGAATACTTTGTCTTAAACAAGATGATACTTGTTGAGTGCGACTAGTAGGAATTAGTGATCATTACCTTTTTTATCAGTTTAAGATACCACTTCTCCCATTTTGATTCCTTCCGTCAATCCTATTAATCGACTCAACCGTACTAACATTTTGAATATCCCAGGTTCGAGAAAGTAGATTGTTTCTGAGATAAATTCTAACAAAGTATCTATTTGAAGTAAAACTGACAAAGTAAAGGATAGAAGCTCAACTTAGTTTTCCTGTTCAAGAATCTACATTTTGAACGGCTTATACAAAATTTATCATCTTATTGTTGCATGGTGTAAAAAATCAATTTCACAAAACTATACTACGAAATGCTTTACAATTGGCTCTAGAGTTAGATAACATCCTCAAATAGATAATTTTTCTGTTTTAGTTATGTGATTGCATTTATTCTTAAGGAATTAGGGTAATGCTAGAATAAAATGAGAAGTGTTGAACCGCTTTCATGTTCAATGCTAATGTAATGTCTGTTATTATGTTAAGCCCAAATACCTTATTCTAACTTTCGGACAGCCCATTCTATTCATTCTACTTGAGTCACATTCTGACCTTGTTAATTATTCGCTTATCAATCTTGGCTGTTTTTATATGAGCGCGGAGGTATGTGTACACTTCTTATCCCATTACTCATCACATGTCTGTAACTTATTTTTGTGTAACTATAAATATTGATTAACTTTTGGTTAAATGGGAGTTGGCTTACCCGCCATCTCCACTGCGCGTCTTTTCCCTTCTCTCTATTCTATTCGCTGCATATACAAAATATATGTATCCAAGACTCAATTCTCGTTATTTGACTAATTTGATTCCGTTATTGACTAACGCGTTTTAAGTCGATTATATACGAGAATAGGCGACATATATGTTTCGAAAGCAATCATTCATACGATCTATTTGGAGTCAGATCTCAGACCACTAAAGTGGAGAGCCGTTCGACAACATCGTCCGGTCTAAATGACGACAAAAATAAAGGGCCCCAGAAAAAGTGGTGAGCCCGCTGCCGCCACCGCGCGTCATTTTTGCTTCGCTTTCTTCTCTTCGCACCGTTCACCCGTTCGTTTGTCTGATCAACGACTATACAAAAATAAAGAGCCCCACTCTAATGATTTGTTGATCTGTCGATTCTTTGTCGCTTTCTCTGCATTAGTATAACTTATCATAGATACGATTCGTTTTGTAATAATTGTTTCTGTTAATAAAACTAGTTTTTATGATCATTAATGTAGGCTCTTCGTCGGTCATTGTTGTCTTACATCAAGACTCAGAAACTAAGGAAAAAAGAACAGCACGATCACGACAATATATACATTAATCGGTGTATTCATCCAAAATCATCAGTTTGGAGATTGCGCATTCTTGCTGGTCTACACTTCATTCAGCCAATTTTTAAGGTGAAAAGAACACTTTTAATGCTTATTTCTTTTTAAATAAGTGTCCAATTTTCATACATTTTTGTTTGTTTTGTCAATTAGTTTCGTTTTTTCCCAAAAATTACTCATAGGCTTTTTTCATTCTGCGAAATTAACACAGTTTTACATACAGAAGACATGAAAAGCAGCTGTATCCACAGTTCATGTATCAGAGGATTATTTGAAGTATGACCATACTACATGACAAATAAACGTACATTACACCACAGATCCAGAAATTATTAGAAATGGAACTGGTTACTGAATATTAACAAGTAGTATAAAGCAGTATACGAATGAGTCAGATGAGGAATGAAGCCAGAGAATGCAAATGAAATCGACAAATATAATATGCTTAACTTTTATCTTTGTAGACTTGCAACTATTAAGAGACAAATATCTACTGCTCCCTACTTTCAAATTCTTCTCTCGATATGAATCTGTGGTTATAAAAACCAGGAGCATTTAATTTAGTTTTCATATCTAGTAGCATTTTACAACTAAACACATCTGAAACTACAAGGCTACTAATCCTTTCGTTCAATACAAAGGGCTTTTCTTTTATGATCTACTCTACGTGCTAAAATTTGATCAGTCAATGTAGTACTTTATTTTTCAGTGAAGTTATGTAATATTATTTAATATCGTGATGCTTTGTAAAATCTTTTAATATTGATTATCACATTCGTGTTCGTTAATGCTGTTTGCAATCATTTTTATCACTAATTAGTTTCTAATATTATTTGTATTTCTGCATATGTTGATTAGATCCAAAAGTTAACCAATTGTGAACCAAATAAATTTGCGTGTATATGTTTATTAGATGGTTGGAAGTATACTGAAAACAGATCTATCTCAGCTAAGAAAGCACAAAATACTGCTGCTCAATCAATGCTGAATAATATGAATAAAATTGAGAACAAATGCTCAACAGTTCCATTATATGATAAACCATATGATGTTACATCAAAATATGTTCATAAACAAAATCATAAATCATGTAAAGTATGTTTGATTTTCGTAAAATAAATAATCAGCTATTCTCTATTAAATAGACTGCATTCCAGTTTTAGGTATTTGTACAGTTATATCTGTTTTACTAGATTTTTTAAGGTTGTCAGTCCAACTTCCACAATGCAACAACAGTTTTCTCAACAACAACAAAAAAATTATGCAGAGTTTTCTACCGACTATTTTCAAACAAATATTTGAGAAAATTTTAGTACTGCGGTTAGTGAGAGAGGTTTCTAGTTTCAGAGTATTTAGACCTAAATATTTCAATTCGTTTGTAACGATCCTTATTACGTTAGAAATTTCCGTATTTAATTTTCAATAGTTGATGTTAGTTCCACCTTTGAAATTATTCATTTCATCATATATGATTAATTTCAAAGCCCTATGTAATACTTAATGAAGTAGTTTTAATTAGTTCTAATAAAATAAAATTATACTCACATAGATCCTGATATTTCTCAAATAAAGAGATTTCTACATTTTGGATTGGAATCTGAAGTGAAATGTTGTAATTTATCAGTAATATTATGTATAAGTTTCAATAGAACGATGAGAAGACGAAGATGATCTGAAAATTGTAATGTATTTGCGCGATACATTTCGAACAATCTGGCGCCGCATACACTTATCAAGTCATTTTATTTAAAAATTAATAAAGGTCAATTAAATTTAGGTACAAGTAAGCAGAGTAATAATTGTAAATAAAGGAGAGAGATAAAACTAAAATAGTGTAAAATGAGTAGGAAGTTGTCGCATTAACCTAGGCCATAAAATGACAAGGATTACTAGGGCAGATTCAAGGTTACGACAAATTGTTTTTGTACACATAAAGGGCTTTTATAAACTTGAGAATTCGTTCGTGACAATTTCTATACAACATTTTAATTGTTTTATTGATGTCAATTCTGTGCTCCGTTTCAATGTTGTGCTTTGCTATCGATGAACATGGTTTTCTAATTCTCACGTTTATCGGATCAGTTGACATTAACTGATTTTGAAGCTCCGTGACTAACGTTCGATGTATAAGTCAAAACACTACTAATATGAATCAGAATGCAAGATAGTCTGGATTATTATTTCTTACAAATTCATCATTTGTGTTCTTTGGTGGATCATTATATTTTCAACAAAGCATTTTTTGTGAACAAATAAAATTTAAAATCATTGACAAGGAGAGGCACTTAGTTCTACGAAAAAGATTTGTTTCTATCTTACACCAGTTTTATTGGTTCAAATTATTTAATTTTGAATATATACATTGTTACTTACAGATCAAACTACAATTCAATCAGCATCGTGCTTTTGATGAATCAGTACATCCTGTTTGTAGATTGGAATGTTACAGCATTGTTAATAACTTGGATAAAGTAAAATATACATTATTAAATGATCAATTACCAAGTGGAGAACATACGTCTTTAGCACCCGGTCGCCCTCCATTTATCTATCAGGTTAGTAGATAGGTGGAAATTTCCCCAATATACAAGGCATCTATGATTACAAAAGCTATAAAGTTAACAATGTCGTTTAATTTTACGTTTTCTGTTTTTTGTTGATTGGTGAATACCAATTTCAAGGATAAATTGATATTACGTTTTAATCCTGATCTGTTCTACGTACTTATGAGTCTTTACATGTGCACTTGAAGTTTTTAAAGTGATTATAAAGGTTTAGTTTTCTCAACAATATTTACACTAGTTTGATGTATTCTTATGTTAACTGTTTTTAGTTGAATAACCACCAGTATAGTCAATATAAGGATCGATCATTCTGTGAATATTACCAGTATAATTTCCACTGTTATTTTGATGTTACCTTTTATTTGACGATAATATAATGAGACCAATTTCATTCCAATATTCTTTGTCATATTCTACATGATTAGATGCACACTTTTGCTAGTTATGAGCGTTTGAATTTCAATGCATATTTATTTATTATTTATTTAAACACATAAATAATGGTACAAGGAGGCACCAAATACATACGCGCCACATAAATCATTCGATTTGTGTGAGGGCCGTAATACTGCCCGGGTGTCCAAACCGAAGCAGGTGCTTTTCTTAGGAGGCCACACCCAGAGCCATCGACCTAAGAGTCTAATTCACAAAGCAGTGGAGAAAAGCGAGGAGATGCATTCCCATGGTAGACGGTGGCCAACAATAGGTTCATACGCCTTTTGTTTCCTCAGGATCCTGGAGCCCATTTGTACCATTAGTTTGGAATCAGGGTTTTCCATTTCCACAAAGTGGATCCTCCATATCCACTATCAACCCGGTTAAAGCTCCAGCCATTCGCTTTTCGTCCTCTCAATTTTTTAAACAACAATCCAGTCGCGAGAAGGCAGTGATTAAGACTTCTCTGGCAGTGGTTGTATGCACGTGGCCATGTGAGAGCATTTCGAGATGGAGAGCTGGCTCTCCCTACTTTCGGCCGTACCAGGGCAAGGATAAATTTTACGTTCACCTAAACTTTACTTTTTTCTAAATAAAAATTTACTGTCGAAAAACATTGTATCAGTGTTTCCTAGTGACCATAAATCGACGTTTTGGCGAAATCAGACATTAAAATTGATCGTAAAATGAGCAAAGGAAATTAGTGAGTAATCAAAACACGTACTTTCCAACTATTGGTCGTCAATTCAAACACAGTCTTCACCGCTTCATTCCTGGTGGCTGAATAGCACCCCCAAGTCACACACCTGAAGTTTAGCTTAATGTGAAGCACACACACTTTGTTACATCAAGTTTGAGTGTTTTAATGTCCTACTGTCTCATTGTAACTAATTATTAACGAGTCTAAAATATAATGGAGTGGCTTTTTGTTGTTTGATGTCCTGTATTTGACTGGTGCATAAGTTTTTTAAATAGAATTCATCATTTTTACGCATCACATCGTGTAAATCCTTTTATTTGTTTTCACTGTTAGCTTGAGTTCTCAAACATGTGTGTTCGAGGCCCTGAAGCGAATAATAAACGTCTAGCGAAACGACTTGCTGCTGAATTGCTCCTTACTAAATTGGGATTGTCTAGTGAAAAATCATCTCCTAATGTCAAGAGTGTTCTTCGAAGTCAAGTTATCGAATCAATCGACAGTAATATTCATGCTAGTAAAAGTGTTTCAGAAAATCTGTCCTGTGGTAAGGTAGTAACATTCTTGGGGTAAAAATTGTATTTTTCAATGCATGAAAGAACAAAACATGATTGCTTTTTACTGATGTTTAGCTATTCAATGCTCGTAGCTTTCTCAATGTAATGGGTATTAGCACTAAACAGCTAGATATCAGTAAAAGCAATTTCGTTTTTTTCTCTCATTAGAAAAATACAAATTCCTATTCATAATATCATTTACCCAACTACCGAAATTTTTGCAAATTATTAAAAGTAATAAGAATTGCTTTATTATATGATAGTAATTGTTATGAGTACATTTTTTTTTCTAAATTCATGATCTTACAATTGCCGATCATTATATTCTGTAAGTGTAGGTCTTTTATTTATTTTACTTCCTTATTCTTATTCCCATAATTTGGAAAATGTTGTCGGTAGACTAGTGGCTCAGTGGTTGAAGCATTTCACTTACAGCAACCAAATTTCATGTTTGAATCCCATTCTACCTAATTTGGTTTAAATAACAATTTGACGTCACTAGACCTTACACATCGAGTGTAACCCGATTTCAGGTACATTAGTCTGTATCTGCCAATTAGGTTAATGGGCAGATACTAAATGAGCTGTAGAAATTAGTAACTTCACAAACTGAACCTGATACAAAAATTAACCTAATATGTGTATGTAGCACAGTACTCTTGGAATACTTTTTTACTATATCCACAAATACTTCAGCTCCAGCCGTCAATTACTAAATAAGACGGAAATTGATTCTTTATTCCGACCTACAGTAACTCATAGAAGACTATTTGGTGTTTTTTATGCACTTTCTTCCTACACTTTTTTAAGTATTCCATGTTTAGAATGCAGGATTCCAAGGTTGCACGGTAGGTTCAAATTTCGAAATGTGGATTATAAAACTTTTTTTTTTAATGATTGAGGTAGAATCAATTTACCAACAAAAGCAAACGCGTAAGCATTAAATTTACACATTATAAGGAATAATAGCAGATAGTGCATTTCATAATTCAATCAAAATAATTTAACAGTTTGTGATTGTCAACTATAAAAGTGAATTAATCAAAGTGCTAATGGTGACCACTACTCTACTTTATATATAAAATCTCATTTACCTACTTTGTCTTGGACAATCAATGTCATTAGCTCGAAAATTAGTAGATGGATTGAGAATTATTTCTTAATTTATAAGTTTCGGTAGGCTAATGAGTACAGTAATTTTTTGCAAACAACCTAGTAATACCTAGTCACTACATACTTCAAGCTTGCACGGTATACAGGGATATTAAGTGGACTATAATTGTATTTTGACTTTGTTATTAGTTAATTTTCTGACTCACTGGACGCCATTATGCGTTATTGATGTACTTTACCAACAAAATCACCGTTTCCCAGTTGGCTAGCTTTTTTAAATCTTTCCAGCAATACGCTAACTGGTTTATCCCTTTAGTGTTGTTGTATCTACCTCAGATTTTCGATGGGATAATGGTTCTTTCAACTAAATCTAGTATATTCAATATATTGTTGAGCACTCTTATCTTTCGCATAACGGATTTAAACCTTTCTTCATTTGTCATTATTATTTTATGAGCACTAATAAATATAAAAGAATCGTTCAATTTCTAACAACTTGCGTTCAGTGGAGGCGAAGTGTCTCTCTGTCGCTTCGTCTTTACAGATATGAAACGTTGAATGTGATGGAAGATAGCATACATAGGTTACTAGCGTTTGACCAAACTTGTCGGCGTGCCATTATTCGTGTATATTAGGACTACCAGGTAGGTAATTTTGATGTTAGGTGTACGCTACTAGGTAATTGTGGCAAATCGGTCGATATTTCCGTTAGTTGTCATCCTTTGAGGTAGTTGGGACATGTTTTACTCATTTCCAACAACTCTCCACTTGAATGAGCATTGTTAACTGGCTTAGGAGTATTTTGAAAATACGTTAGTAGCGGACAAACTATTGATCCAAGCTGTATGATATAGTATATTCTTCTTATATCCAGATGATATTTGTGATCGATCTTGAGAGCTAATATTATTTTATTCATAGATTTCATTCCTTTCCGAACCTTGTTTCAGACTTGTTGTCTTAGTATCATGAACATTAATTTTACTTCTATTCCCTTGTTCAACGATTTCCTGTATTTGTTTTTGTGTAGCATGAGAACTCTAGCTAATGCACATTTGAACCATGTCCTACGTTTCTTATGACTAACCGAATAGAATAAATAATCAAGAAAACATTACACTTATATTTTTATTTCTACATGGAAACTAGGTATTGTGCCAGAAACTGTCAGTAATGTACACAAATCGTTATCTCCCGTAGAAAAATCAGACGATCAATCACAGGATAATATTTCTAACGAGGTTAGTTGCGTGAAATTAAACACAGTAATCATGATTTACGAAGAATCCAAAGGTTATTTACTTATTAAGTTTGAACTTTGCCGAAAATCCGTGTATATGTTTCATTGGTTCCCAACAATATTTTGTCTACAGTTAATTTCAGTCAATAAAAACCTACTGTGTTGTAAAAAGACTGAGTAATATTCTTTCTATAGATATTAATTTTATGTTTACCAATAAAAAAATGATTCAACTCTGTCCTAGGCAATCATTTTTAGTTGCTATTCATCCCTTTGATGTCTGCTTCCGATTCTCGACGCAGTGTGTTCTTTGGTCTTCCTCTTTCCCGTTTTCACTCAGCATTTCAAGTTAGCGCTTGCCTCGTGATGTAGTTTGATGGTTTCCGCAATGTATTTCCTATCCACCTCCCGAGTCTTTTCCTAATTTCTTCATCAACTAGATGATTTTTTTTCTCCCACAGTGTACTGTTGCTGATGGTTTCCGGTCAACGGATATTGAGTATCTCGAGTAAACAGTTGTTTGTAAATAATTGTACATAATTGATGATGATTGTGGTAGTTCTTGAAGTTTCAGCTCCGTACAGTAGAACTGTCTTGAAGATTTTGATTTTGCTTGACAGTTATTTTGAGTTCTATATGTTCTTCAACTGTAGAAATGCGGTTCTTGCTTTGCCAATCCTCGCGTTTACGTCTGCATCGTATCTTCCTTGTTTAGCCATGATCCTGCCCAGTTACATGAAAGTACTTGGTCATATTCTAAAAGATTCATCTAATAATCGTATAAATGATTCACATAATATCCAGTTAATAATAAAAAATTTTTCAAAGTGTGAATTGTGACTTATTTGAAAATACTGGTGTTTCGGAAATATGAAATGAATCATGTTTGTTTATATATTACTTTATTTAGTGAATAATTTTATGTTTCTAATCAGTTCGACTATTCACATTTATATATTACAAAACAATGAAACTTATGACTACTATTTTTAGTTTATGATGATTATATAATTATAGTTGTAAGTAGACTTTATGTTAACAATGTTCATATTTGTTGTCGTTATCAATGTTGATGTTGTTCTGTATTCTCATTTTCTATTATTATATATTTACTTATTCGAGTCCCGCCACGGTCGTGAATGTGCACTGCTCAGGAGTCCCACAATAGGACGAAACGGCCATCCAGTGCTTCCAGGTTTTCCATGGTGGTCTAGCTTAAATTGACTCATGTTCTCAACTATTGAAATATATTTATTTGTTTATTGGTATCTGTATTGATACTTTAGAACGTCATAAATCGAAGAGTTAATCATAACTCTAGATCTGTAATATGGGGAGTTAAGTCTTTTCTACTAAGTCTGTATTCAACAGTTATTTTTATATATAATATAAAATATTATATAGGCACTTTGCCGTAACGTTTAATTCATTTCCATGTATGGCCACACAAGGTAAATGTTTGTCTAATGTTAATTGAGTTTCATTCGATTTCGATTATATCAGTGTTATTTCACAGTCTGTCGTTTATTGGATATTTAAGATTTATATGATTAACTTAAGTGTTGTATAAGGTAGTACAATCTGAATTTAAACCATTAACACTATGTTATCGTTGAAATATTGTATTTTTATTGAACATTATAGGAACATCATGTGAACTTCAGTTGTACTAGTGATATTCTTATCTTTGATGAAGAATTAGTGGACCCTGTTTTGTTGCGTAAAAGAACTTCTCGTCCCTTAAAAAGGTAAAGGAAGCTTTTTCATATAACATATAATCTGGAATTAAATTCTAATCATTAAATTTACCACGATTTTTGTGTTGAAAAGTTGTCAGACAAGCGGACAAGAACAACAACTTAATTTTTTTAAAGCTACACCTATTGAGGTTACAATGTTTTGAAAAGATATGGTAAGAAGAAATCAAACAGACCCGATAAAGAATAAAACCGAACTTAAATGATATGAACAGAAAAGTGATTGTCAAATAATAAAGGAATTACTTTTGGTTTGGTAGAAGAACTGAAATGTATTTTCGCGGTTGTTAACTTCCATTTTTTCAGTCTAACATAGACCTATTTTGGTTAGTATCCTACTTCAATATGTGTGACCTGTGCCTCAGTCAAATCTTTTGACTGACATTAATCTTATACCCTTCCAAATACACCTTATTTGTTTCAACGTACTTGTTCTATCTGCGTCTCTATATTTCTAAACATCTTTTTAAGTTCTAAATTTCAAGCTCTTCAGATGTTTTGTAGTTTCCTTCTAAAAATTTAGAGGACGAGAAGCAAATGTCTGGAGCTTTAACCGGGTTAGTGGACACGACGTGTCCACTTAAGGGAGTTGGTAAACCCTGATCTCTAACCAAGGGTGCATATGGGCTCCAGGATCCTGAGGAAACAAATGGCGTATAAACCTATTGTTGGTTACTGGCTACCATGGGACTGCATCTCCTCACTTTGCTCCACTGCTTTGTGGATTAGACTTTTAGGTCGAAGGCTCCGGGTGTGGCTCCCTAAGAAAAGCACCTGCTTCTGTTTGGGCGCTCGGGTAGTATCACGGCCCTCACATAAATGATAACCACTAATAGGCTCATTTTTATTGTCCGGCACATATGTATTTAGTGCCTCCTTGTACCAATGTTTGTATGTTCAAATAAATAAATAATACTGAAATACTTGATTCCCTTACAAAGAATTGTTTAGTAATATTCATAACCTTAGTAGTACAGTTCCTGTATATATCAGTTCAACCGTACATTTTATGCTGTCTTCACTGTGAACCCATAGTTGTTCACTAGGTATTGTAATTCATAAAATGAAATTTGATTGTTTCAATCACTTTTTAGTATTCTCTACTAGATTCTTGTTTTTTAAACTATCTAAATTAACTTCGTACTGTTTAGTGACGTCAACACCTTAGAGACTACATTTGTCTCAGATATTATAAATAAATAAGTCAGGGCAAGAAGTAGTAGGTTTATTTTAAGCAAACTTGTTCTCAATCAAAGCAGTAAGGTAGAGAAAGTTAAAGTTAAGGAGTAAATATGTGGGTATTTATACAACCAATAGCATTACAAATTAACCTGTTAAGGTTAGATAAGGTCACATAATAATTTGTATTAGTCTGTCATATTAATTTGCAACACGATTCAAGTGTAAATCGTTCACTACAAATTATTCTCTGGTTTACCACTACGTGCAACTTTTAAGGATTTCGTTCTTTGTTAACCTTACCTTACATTTTTCATGTGTTAATTTTCTATTATTGTTGTAGAAAAGATATTCAGTCTAGAACAATAAGTAATGGTTCGATTCCGCGTTCTCACTCGAGTATAAATCTTTCAGTCAATGAAACTAATAACTTGCTTCAAAATTATTCTCCTTCATCAACTGATCTATCGTTGGTTAGTTAATTAGTATTTTACATTTTCAACAAATCATTGTATCAAATATTTCTATTTTGGTGAATGTAAGCCTAATTACCGTATATAAATATGTGCTTATGTGATTTTATATGCATGACTTGTAGTGGAATTTCTTCGGAATAATTCCTATGCTTCGTACATCACTCTCCCTGATAGCTATTATTATTATTATTATTATCATACAACAACACGAAGGGTTGATCACAGTTTATGACCGTAGAACGCGAAGCACAAAGTCACAGGGACATGAAGCGAATAGAAATAGAAGTTGGAACGCGAACGAATGAATAAAATTTAAGAAGTACACTACATATGGGCAAGTCACTGAATCACCGAACAATCTAGAAAACTAACATGTAAACTAGTAAGAGGAATGTATTTGTAGGCTGTAATAATAATAATAATAATAATAATAATAATAATAATAATAATAATAATAATAATAATAATAATACAAAGATACTGACCTAATGATACTTAAATAAGTTAATTAAAGGGCGAAGCAACATTAAAAGTTATACAGACTCAAGTGTAGGTGATGTGCTACAGTCTGCCACAATGTATACCCGAAAAATACCGAAGGATAGCAAGCAAATGATACACTTAATGAAGCTTGAATGAAAGACAAAATTTGTTATCAGGCTGACTGGACTGTGATTGTTGTAAGTGGTTTTTCTCCAATAGTGTTGCCTCCTATGAATACTCATTTTAAAAAATACAAATTTTGCAAAATGTACATCATAACTTTTCTCATTGATGACCTCTTTTAAGAATCAGACAAAGTCCGTTGTTTTTTAGAACACATTATGAGACTATTGTCTATTAAAATTTCTCCAACTATATGATTTAGTCTAATCAACTTTTTCATGTATAGATGCGTTTAACATACTCTGAACTGTCAGTTACTTGTACTTCTCTAGAAGAATAGTAAAATCTCTTAGTAGTCACAGTTTTTTTCTATTCAGTTTATCTAGCCGTTATTTAACTTGATCGGCTCCATACAATTTCTTAAATTATATTTACGTAACCAATGTTGATAAATTCAGTGTTAAATAGCAAGTCGATTATCTGAAATGAGTTTTTCAAAGATAGTTTAAATCATCATTTTCAGTAACATGAGAATTATTCTACCGTCTCCATAATGTATCAACTTTTTAAGTGTAGCCTGACGCGTTTGAAATGAAAAGCTCTGTCTGGATTCTAGTCCTGGACTGAGCATCAATATTGGGATGCAAGTATACCCAGCTGACAAGTGCCAAACAGAACTAAACTCACGTCCTAGATTCCACTGGCAGTCACTACTTAAAAATACTTGTAACTTAATGCAAATATCGAGGCAATGCGCTCAGAATGCAGATATGTCAAAAAGAGACTGATCAATTGGATTCCTTAGCATCAACAACAAGAAGATTCAAACATCTTTTAAAACTGAATCAAAATGAAATTGTTGTTCAGTGCGATGTAATTTTAGACAGTCTTCCCACTTGATGTCAGTTTGTATTAACAAATATCTTTGAATTAAGCTAATCTCCACAAAACACTGAAATAAAAAATGTAAATCTTAGAAAATTTTCAAAAGGTTATACTTTTGCTTCGTCTGAAGTTAGCTATCATTTGCTTGGCCCGATATATATATTTTTTCTATTTTCCTTATCACTTTTTCTTTCAGATTAATTCAGTATCTGAAACAAATAGGAATAATCTAGATGTCTTCAGTAAAACCATCGGTTATTGGATAGGTTTGTACCTTTTCTTATTTTACTTGAATAAATGAGAGATTTTCTTAACTAGGAAGAGAGAGAGGGAGTTTATACGATTTATGATGATCGATAGAATTCGATGAGCGTTAAGAATAGCTTGACAACATTGACATAAAAGGTTACGTAAGAGTTTATGATTTATTGGTAGATTACATTTAACTTGGTAAATGTAATTGTTTTCATAATAATTCATCAGATTCCACCAATTTTAACGAAGCTATTGATATGAAAAAAATTTTGACTAAATGGGAACTATGTTTTTTTCAAAACTCAGTGACTCTAAGATAGCACCGTGTTGGTTCAGAATAAAAGAATCAAGAAAATATGATAAAAAAAGGTTTAACTAAAGCCTTTGTCATCATTCCCAAAAATAGCTTCATACGATTTTCGGTTTTTTGAAAATATTCGCCAGTATTACCATTATTTAACATCCATGATACCTCATACTTATTTTAAATGTTGAAGTTTGTAGTTCATGCTCGTTTCACCGAAGATTTGACTTCCTGTGAGTGGTAGATTTTTACAAGCGTTAAATTGTCAACTTAATGCTTTAGATGTCAGTCGGTCAGAGGCAACGTAGAACTTGCACATCACATAATTACTTACGCCTGTTACTCTTCATAGTAGTTTCCTCATCATTGAGTAGGTCTCGGAACCTGTTGTTGAGATCTATCCTGAATTCGTTGAGTTTGTCAGTATGTCGAAAGGTTGTATTGAACTTTTGTAATGCTGTTTCCCCAATTGTCCAATGCTACTTTAGCTTCAGTTTCATATTTGAAACCACCAGCCAGTGGTGATCTGAAATTACATCAGCTCCTCTCCTGGTTCTCACGTCCTCCATTGACCTTCCGAATTTTTTAGTGATGGAAATATGATCGATCTGGTTCTGTATAGTGTGATCCAGTGAGACTCATGTGGCTTTGTGTATGCGTTAGTGTGGGAATATTGTACCACCTTTAACCATTTTGTTGAGTGCACATGAATTTGCAAATATGTCGCCATTCTTACTTCTTTCTCTCAGTCATTCCATAATGTCCCATGATATCTTGATACCTGGTGTTGTCCATTTCGACTTTGGCGTTTGGGTTCCCATCAGGATGGTTAGGTCCTTTCCTTAGTACTTCGCTATGACCGACTATAGCCTCTCATAAAATTGATCTTTAACGTCGTCATTGCTATCATTGTTGAGTACATAACACTGGATCAAATTCATTATAATTCCCTCCTTTGTTGTGGAAGATGCTTTGATGATCCTGGATCTCTGAGATCCCCATCGTATAAGTGCATTTCGTGCTTCTTTGGACAGCATCAGAGCAACTCCTTGAGTGTGTGGAGCATTTTTCTCTTCGTGACCGTAGTACAGCAGCATCTCTCCCGTGCCTAACCTTTGTTGTCCAGCTTGGGTTTCGCTGATTCCAAGTACTTTCAAGTTGTATCTCCTCACTTTCGCAGTTATTTAATCGGTTCTCCCGGTTCTGACATTCCATGTGTCTATATTGATTGTTGCTCTGGTTATTAGGAGTGGAATCGGCCTCGTTACGTCCGAAGAATCTCAGCTTTCACCATGAGGAGTCATAGTTCTTTCGAAAGATCTTTCAACTCCCACAGCAGAGTTTAAATGGCTTAATTTTTTTAATCTGGTTGGCGTTTTTAGCAAGAATTTTTTTTCTACGGGAAGGGGTTGCCAACCACATGCCCAACCCTCCTCCTTTACCAAAGATTAAAACCGGCAGTAACCCTAGAAAAGTTACAGGCGAAGATCACATCATAGAAGAAAGATGAAGTTAATTAAAGAAATACGATAGTAGATATAGTAACCGTATGAGTTGTAGTAAAAAGCATCAAGCAAAGTCGATATAATTCGAGAATTAAGAATTAATTTGCAGAAAAAACGTATGAGACAATTTTAGAACCTAAGATTTAAGGAAAAACAAAGAGTACATTTGTATCACTATGGTTGATACTCAGACATGTCACTCGTTGTCTCTAGCTGTATTTATGGTAATTTCATGAACTTGAAAGAGGTAATCTGTACCTACCTCAATACTCCAGTCGAACAGTGTTCATGGACTGACTCCACACTTTTGTTTGGCCACACATTAGCTTTCTTCCTCTGCTAGCAAACATCATCTGTCGAGGTGGATAGTGGTCGGGGTATTGTAATATAGTTTTATAAAGATAAGATTATCGTAATTTAAATGCATATAATTTTAGATTCGAAAAAGTCAAAATCCAATCAGAGGTCCTATGCACGAAGTCATTCGGAAGTCGATTTCAATGAAGGTAGTGATTGGTATCGAAAGTTCGATGGCATCTATGATAATTCATCGCCTGATATTATTACTGATTGTACACGTTCTAAATCGAATATAAGACTACAACTTTTGGCTCGTGTTGCTGAGTATTGTTTACAAGAACACGCTCTCAACAATTCAATACACAACATAAATGAATATCATACGAGTGGAGTTACCAGTTTAAGTGATCAACTGGTGTTTTTGTGTAGGCGTCTGCTAGTTCCTTGTCATTTTATTGAATATCCACCCAAATTAAACATAGTGTGCAAGGTACCTGTTTTACTTTGATTATTGTACTGAATTTTTTACTTTATTAATATTTGGTTGATAATACTTAAAACTAGTTAATAAGAGATGCTATCATTTTTGGTGACTATCAAATAATTTGTTTAAAGTAAAAATTGCTTCAAATTCTGGGAGTAGAAATACACAGTTTATTTATGATTTTTATAACCTGATAAAAATAGTGAGTCATGATTGTTTAGAGTACCCCTGAAAGTTGTCAGATATAAAGCTCTTCAAGCGCTCCGTTGTTTTGAATTTCGCTAGGATCGTGTTCACATACGGTTTTCCCGACAATCACTCTGACCTTACAGTTTTTAGAGCCCTCATCTAAACGTTTGACTGTTATGCTCTACAGTGAAAATACCAGCTTCCTAACTGTTGCCAAACTAGCCGTAAAGAATTAGAAATTTAAGAGACTCTACCTCAAAAGCCAAATGCTAATGCACGCCCGGGTGTCCAAACTGAAGCAGATGGTTTTCTTAAAGGGTTACACTCAGAGCCTTCAACCTAAAAGTCTGATTTACAAGGCAGTGCAGCAACGTCAGGAGATGCAGTCCCATGTTAGCCAGTGACCGACAATAAGTCCTCAGGATCCTGGAGCCCATGTGCACCCTTGGTTTGAGATCAGGGTTTACCAACTCCCCTAAGTGAACCCTTTGTTTCCAATAGCCAGGTTAAAGCTCCGGACATTCGCTTTTCGTCCTGTCAATTTCGTAAACACCCCCACTGTGATTAGGATTCACCTGGCAGTGGTTGTATGCACGTGGCCATGTGAGAGCATTTCGAAAGACTGATCTGATTCTCATTAACCTCGACCGTACCAGAGCATTTGGGGACAAACAAAGATTATACTGTCAGTTGTTTGTGTACAAATAAATGATTTATTTCCTGTTATCTAAATTAGTCCATTGATTTATTTCAACTACTCATTACTTTAAATAGATGAATATTTAATAGAACTCGTATTTTTTCCTCTTTATTTTAGTCTGAAAAAGAATTCAACACTAAATATTATTATGAATACACAGTTATCCTATTTGTTGGTATTAATCCTATGAAAGAGAATTCAATTAATGGTAATGGTTATATAACAGTAAAAGCTACAGATTTAACAAGAAATTCAGCAAAACAAAAGGCTGCCCAAACTGTAGTAAAATGTTTAACAAAATTAATTTGAATGATGATCATTGATTTCGATCATTTTTTTCTCTTTTTTTGGTTTCTTCATTTAATTAGGAAATGATAAGCTTCTTTCTCTTATTTATTTCTTTTTTTAGGAGGATGCATACTTTAATAATCATTTAATCTCTTATTTACTCTTTACAAAATACTTTTTATCCGATGGGGTTTTGTGTAGATTTTTAGAAATTTCAATAGTTGAAATCATGAATCAATTAAAGCTAGACCACCATGGATAACCTGGAAGTACTGGACGGCCGTCTCGTCCTAGTATGGGACTACTCAGCAGTGCGCATCTACGATCCCCCCGCGGAGGAGTCCCATACTAAGAAGAAACGGTCGTCCAGTGCTTCCAGGTTTTCCATGATGGTCTAGCTTCAATGGACTCATGATTTCAACTATTGAAAATACTTTTTGTTTTTGCATTTTAACTTCTCAAATTTTATCAAAAGCATTTAAGACAAATTTTTAAATCATTAGTACTTTTATTCTATTCTATAGCTACATTCAGATCCATTTTTTTCAACTTAAATCTCTACGATACTTGATAACAGATCATTTAAATGGCAATGTGATTATTTTCAACTATCTATACAACATTACTTTTTATTTATTAAAATACTTTCTAGTAAACGTTTCACTCATATTTTCATCAGCGATCGTATTTATATGACTAATTGAATTAGTTTTATGATGACAAACAGATTGTTCTGTTATAATATAGATAAATAATGCTTAACTTAGCAAGAATACTAGTTCATATGTATCAGTCAACAACGTAGAACTTCGTACGTACATACATCAGTTCGAGTTGCCATACCACATTAGCACAGAGATGCAATTGTCGATTCAAATCCCATAGTGGTAGAGGCAGTAAGAGTATAAGCAGTAGTCAGAAACAATAGGGTTTGAAGGCGTTACTGAAGGATTATAATCCAGTGAAATAAATTTGGAAAGAGAAAAAAGAAATGGACATGAAGAATTCAGAAGACTAGAATTTGGGAGAACACAAAGAGTGGATACACTTGCGCCATTACAAACGATTTTGAGCCATGTCATTCAAGATCTCTAACCATCGGTTGCTAGCATTTCGCGGTCCCCAACCAGGTAGTCTACACTTACCGACACGGCTCAGACCACTTGTCAGTGACTTCATGGATTTGTGCCATATTTTGGTCTGGCCGCCCCTAGCTTCCTTCCAACCTACTCCTACACCATAAAACATCGGACCTCGGGGTAGTCAGTGGTTAGGTATACATAACACATGTCCCAGCCATCTCAACTGATGAAGTTTCAGTACTTCATCAAAGTTCATATATGTGCACGTAGCCGATTCAAATTTGCAATGTGGAAATAGTTAGCTAATTTATATCGATTGCTCTGACAAGAAAATAAACTATACATTAGAATTATTTAGACCGTATGATGTTACAAATTAACCTTCCCTCTAGTCGACCACCACTTTTAAATGTTGGCACTTAATTTAGCTAACCCCCATCAAGTGTATATGTGCTTTTAAAAGTAGTCTACATAGAATAGACTACTGGTAACCGCCGACTTAATAAATACGATTTAGGTAGCACGTATGTAATTGTATGGTTATGTATTTTGATTTATCTATTTGTAATTGAGAAACTGTTCAATGGCAGATTTTTAACTGGGAAGCTCAAAGATATGTGGTTTTCTGACCAGTAAATGCAGTGTATATAGTTTTTGGGTGGTAATCAATCCACTGAGTTTTATCCATAGCTTTAGTCTATTCTTACCAGGTTGTATGTATATCATCTTTATTAAGCTCTTGACTTATCAAGAAATACATTTGGTTGGTGGAATATTAACTCTTCTCAATTTGTTTGCTTGCACAGTAATTCTAGTTATAATACGATCGTACAACAAGCTAATAATTCACACCTCCGACTTTAATAGCGATCAGAGACTATTTATGTTATTTTCTTCCCTACCTCTTCGTTATATTATAATGAACAGAAGTCAAGGGAACGCAAAATCGCTTCGCACTAATTATAATAAAAAATATTTCATTGAATTTGCCCAGAAGTCAAATCAACGGAAATTAAACTCAACTAATCCAAAACTCAACTCCGCCTGAAGCCCCTCCGGGGGCTACTGCCGGTCCCAAGCCCAGATAAAGGAGGAGGTTTGGGCATGGGGTTAGCGACCCCATCTCGTAGAAAACTAACTCGCTAAAAAAACGCTAACCAGAAAATATTATTCAAACCATTTAAACTCTGCCCTGGGAGTCAGAAGGTCTTCATTTAGAAGAGTTATGACGCCTCATGATGAAAGCCGAGTTCCTTCGGAAGTCACGAGGCCGATGCCCCTTCTGACAACCAGAGCAACCGTTTATTTAGGTACATGGAATGCTCGTACAATGTGGGAGACTGGGAGAGTTTTCCAAATTACTGCAGAAATGAGGAGATACAACCTAGAGGTGCTTGGGATCAGTGAAACACATTGGACGCAAGTTGGACAACAACGACTAGCTTCAGGGGAGCCGCTGTTATACTCCGGACATGAAGAAGAAAATGCCCCACATGCACAAGGAGTTGCATTGATGCTGTCCAAACAAGCACGAAACGCACTTATAGGATGTAAATCTCATGGACCAAGGATCATCAAAGCCTCCTTCAAAACAAAGAAAGAGGGCATTACAATGAACGTCATCCAATGCTACGCGCCTACCAATGACAACAATGAAGACGCTAAAGATCAATTCTACGATAGGCTGCAGTCAATCGTCGAGAAGTGCCCAACAGAGGACCTGACTATTCTGATGGGAGACCTTAATGCCAAGGTTGGAATTGACAACACCGGATATGAAGAGATCATGGGACGACACGGACTGAAAGAAAGGAACGAAAATGAGGACAGATTTGCAAACCTATGTGCCTTCAATAAGAAGGTCATAAGCGGCACTATTTTCCCACATAAACACATCCACAAAACCACATGGACTTCACCGGAACACACTATGCAAAACAAAATCGACCATATTTGCATCAACAAAAAGTTCAGGAGGATGATGGAGGATGTGAGAACCAAGAGAGGAGTTGATATAGCACCAGATCATCACTTGCTGGTCGCCAAGATGAAATTAAAACTCAAAAAGCACTAGACAATGGGGCGGACAATATCATAAAAGTTCTATACGGCTCTTCTTCGGGATACTGAAAAACTCAACAAATTCAAGATAGCCCTCAGCAATAAATTCCAGGCCTTTCATGATCTACTCAATGGAGAGGGAACTACTATGTAGAGCAACTGGAAAGAGATGAAAGAGGCAATCACTTCAACATGTCATGAGGTTCAGGGCCAAAAGAAGCACCATCACAAGGATTGGTTCACGATCGATACACTGGATAAGATTCAAGAAAGGAGGAACAAGAAGGCAGCAATCAATACCAGTCGAACAAGAGCAGAAAAAGCCAAGGCACAAGCTGAATACGCAGAAGTAAACAAGCAGATGAAGAGGAGCATCAGAACTGACAAGTGTAAATATGTGGAAGATCTAGCAATGACGGCGGTAAAGGCTGCAAGAGAAGGTAACATAAGACAATTGTATGACACAACAAAGAAACTCTCTGGAAATCACCGTAAACCAGAACGACCAGTGAAAAGCAAGGAAGGCAAGGTAATCACCAACATTGAAGAACAGCGAAACAGCTGTGTAGAGCACTTCGAAGAACTCTTGAATCGACCAGCCTCACTGAACCCACCCAACATCGAACCAGCACCCAAAGACCTCCTAATCGATGTTGGCCCACCAACAATTGAAGAGATCGGCATGGCCATCAGACAAATCAAGAGCGGCAAAGCAGCAGGATCAGACAACATTCCAGCCGAGGCACTGGAAGTAGATGTAGTAGTAACTGTGAAGATAATCCACATTCTCTTCGGCAAGATTTGGGATAAAGAACAAGTACCAACAGACTGGAAAGAAGGACACCTGATCAAGATACTCAAAAAAGGTGATCTCAGCAAATGTGAGAACTACAGAGGCATCACTCTTCTCTCAATACCAAGAAAAGTCTTCAACAGGGTATTGTTAAACAGAATGAAGGATCCCGTAGACGCCCAACTTCGAGACCAACAGGCTGGATTCCGTAAGAATCGATCGTGTACAGACCAAATTGCAACACTACGGATCATTGTTGAGCAATCAAGTGAATGGAATTCATCACTCTACATCAACTCCATTGACTACGAGAAAAGAGTTGGTAGCGTGGACTGGATAACACTATAGAGGCTTCTTTGATACTACAGCATGCCTCAGAAGATAGTCAATATCATACGGAATTCCTATGATGGATTGAACTGCAAAATCGTGCATGGAGGACAGTTGACAAAGTCGTTCGAAATAAAGACTGGTGTCAGGTAAGGTTGCTTACTCTCACCCTTTTTCTTTCTCCTGGTGATCGACTGGATCATGAAGATGTCAACATCTGAAGGGAAACACGGGATACAGTGGATATCTAGGATGCAGTTGAATGATCTGGACTTCTCAGATGATCTGGCTCTTCTATCGCATACGCAACAACAAATGCAAGAGAAAACAACCAGTGTAGCAACAGCCTCAGCACCAGTAGGTCTCAACTTACACAAAGGGTAAAGCAAGATTCTCCGATACAACACAACATGCAACAATCCAATCACAATTGACGGAGAAGATTTGGAAGATGTGAAATCCTTTACATATTTGGGCAGTATCATTGATGAACACGGTGGATCTGATGCAGATGTGGAAACGCGGATCGGCAAAGCAAGAGCAGCATATTTACAACTGAAGAACATCTGGAACTCAAAACAATTGGCAACCAACACCAAAGTCAGAATTTTCAATACAAATGTGAAGACAGTTCTACTGTATGGGGCGGAAACCTGGAAAAATCACGAAAGCCATCATCCAGAAGATACAGGTGTTTATTAACAGTTGTCTACGCAAAATACTTCGAATCCGTTGGCCAGACACTATTAGCAACAACCTCCTGTGGGAGAGAACAAACCAGACCCCAGTGGAGGAAGAAACGCTGGAAGTGAATAGGACACACATTGAGGAAAGCACCGAACTGTGTCACAAGACAAGCCCTCGCATGGAATCCTCAAGGTCGAAGGAGGAGAGGAAGACCAAAGAACACATTACGCCGGGAAATGGGGCTAGATATGAGAAAAATGAACAAGAATTGGATGGAACTAGAAAAGAAGGCCCAGGACGGAGTGGGTTGGAGAATGCTGGTCGGCGACCTACGCTCCATTGGGAGTAACAGGCGTAAGTAAGTAATAGGAAATTCACGATTAAATCAGTACTAGATGCTTCATTGAATTTTTTCTAACCAACTTGTCTTTGGGAACTTAACATCCTCCAAGATATTAGTAGTTTTTAAACGTCAGAGAAAGCAGGTATCATTACCAAGGTTTGATTTGATAATTTCGAATAAATTGAGCATTGTAGTGGTCATTTTAAAAATTACAAACAGCGAATATTTTATTAACTATATGTATGACTGTTACAAGAAATGACATTACACTAAACTTCTCATATAAAACAAATTAGTGCATATAAAATCAAACTTCTATGGAGCTAGTCGTTCGTATACCCAACCATTTTCTCCAACATGTACTAGGTCAGATCCATTTATTTCTGGAATTTGATCACAACGACGAAATCTAATACGATCATGTAGTCTGTTTGTTTGACCTTGCCAAAACTCAATCGATTTCGGAGACAGAATATATCCTCCCCTAGCAAAATATAAATAATAGATTTTTTCCAATGTTATCAACAATGTGTTAACTTGTACAAACATGAAAATAGGATGCACACAACTACCACTATGAAAATCATGCGATTCGAAGTAATAATGGTATTGTCAGTGATAGTAAAAGCTAAACATATAGTATTTAGCCTGTAACAATGAAATCGAAATACTATGAAATAATATTAATACGCAAGATCTAGAGAAAGACGAAGAATGAACGGAAACGTGCCAGTGCAAACGCTTTCGATTAGTGTTAAATACGGCATGTAGTCATATGTTGCGATTCTGTAAATAAATCAATGATTAATTTGGCTTCATTTAGCCTGTCAAACTATCACTATTTCAGTCACTAATACGCGTCGTGATAGGCAATGTTATTCTATGTTTCTGAAACGTCAGTGAATGAAAGTTCACAACACCATCAAACGGTTTATAATCTTCACCCAGTAACTACATCTAACTTCAGTATTACCAACTTGGTTTTACAGAAACACGACATCCCATAATCAAAATAAGAACAATTCATTATAGCCAAACCAACGTTGTGACTGACTGAATGAGCAAAACCGACTAATAATTGTTGAAAATGTTAAGATGCACGCTAATATATCATAACTTAATGTCTTTAGTAGCGAAATTCAAGGTAATAAACGTTCACGCATATAAAAGATATAAATGCAGAAGTAGGTTTTATATTTTATGATGAATTGTTGTAATAACAAGTGGTCAACACAGTCAGTTAACGTTTAACTCAGTAGCAGCTACAGGTCAGCATTTTAAGCTCGTTGGTGTCAATTAACGAAAGCTGCCTGCACACACGAAGAAGCTCAAGAATCGTAGGGTTCAGATCTACTGTTTTATCAGCATATTCATTACTTGATTGATCAACATACTCGACATAACGTTTGTGAAAGCACATAATTGGCTAATCATTACAACAAATTACTTAAGAATAGAAAATGAGTACGTTCACAATTTACCAACTGAATATGAATCTATTGTGTTACTTGTAAAACTAGTAATAAGCAAATAACGAAATCGCTGTATATATATAATAGTTCAAAGGTGATACAGCCAATAAATTAGTGATTCAACATAAGTAAAAACCCTAGAATGTATACACTACATAGCGAGTCTGTCTTTCTTCCTTTAGTCAACCAACAATTTATTCACGAAATACAGATAAATTGCATAATTCTGATGTTCTTAATGTGATATAGGTCGAACAGCCAGATGAATCTGTCATCGTATTTCCGAACATCACCCACTATGGTGGATCAAAGGATAATAGCAAACAATAAGAGGCCATAATCAACGATATTTAGTCGATAATAGTTGTCATGTCAGTATCTCAACCCTTAACGTTATCAATAGAGTTCTACTGAACATAAACTTAAGACTCCTACATACAACAGAAGCCATAGAAATACACATGAACAAACCTAATATTCTGCACACAGGAGACGTTTTTATGGCTCTTTAATCTACCTTAGCCTTCTACTTAGTCAATTTGACATTTCTCAAGAAAGATTTTTAATATCCACAATGCTGATTCAATTTTATTTCCTGCTTTTATTCCTGCGTAACTTGCCTTGATAAGTTGATTATCTAATTTTTGGCACCAGCTTTATTAGTTATCTATTATTAATTTTACAAGTAACATTACTCATTCATATTCAGATGGTATGAATTTTAACCATTTATTTAATATGGGTTTTATGCTTAACCGTAAACTTATATATTTGTGAAGAGCCATGAACAGGAACTAACTGGAAAGAAAAGCCTTTTTCCTTTGACTAATTTGTAATTCAGAGAGATATTTAAACGATTAGTACCTTTTTGACACATAAAACTAGAAATCTGAATGTTGGGTATTATGGACCACATCAGAAATAACTAAGTCAATCATTCGTCTGATATTGAAAATATAGGTAGATCATGATATGATTCCCACTAGATTTAAATCGCTAGTTCATAAAAGCGCATATAAGGAACGTACCAATTTGAAGGCTTTGGAAGCTTTTCTCTCTCAGCATACTCATTTTCTAATTCTACGTACTTTTTGTCCAGAAACTGTTTGAAGCGAGAAAAAAAAACTATACTATTATCCCAAGACGTTGTGAGCCAATTCGATATGATGTAGTCAGATGAAAAAATAGTCGGAGAAATAAAAATGACTACTTATATATTACACTCTAGCATTAAGAATCCTACCACATGAACAAATAACATTGAGGAAGGAGTGATGACGAACGAATGAAGTGTAAGGTTTAAAGTCTTTGCAGTAAATTAACTGATTGAACACCTGGAAAAACTGAGGTCGTTGAACAAGACGTCACACACGCCCATATACAGTTTATCTGTGCGTGTTAGGTTGGTTGACTTAAGAGATCATAAAAAGATTCCTGGTTGATATACAAAGACAGTGATGATTCGAGAAGTTCCAAATTGTTGCTTTGATATGCATATTTGTAATGAATAAGATACATAGCTTTAAGATTGAGTAGTTGAGATGGTTAGTTTACGTAACACAAATTTACATAGCGCGGATTTATTTGCATGCTCTTTCAAGACAATTTAATGATTAAACTGTCAGAATCATCTGAGCTTTAAGTAATTTATGAATCTTAACAAGATTACAGTTATTATCAAAAAGTATTTCCATAAAAGTTTCGGTCTCTTCCTTGTATGAACATAAAAGTTTCCTTTGGTTAAAAACATATCGTAGGAATCCACATATATATTGAAGTGAGAAGAAAATTTGTTAATCCAAATAATATCCTATTCATGTTGATGTGATTTAGATCAATCACTCCCATCAACTATTTCACCACTTACTACATACAAAGTATACGAAGTATGTGTAATATATTCTGCAGTTAAAATCGAAGTGGTACCACATCAACAGATTAGAAATGCTACGTTTCCTGAGATAATCAGGATTCACAGTCAAAATATGAAGTTTACATCTATGAGGAAACATTCTTTAGTATGGGTAGATGAAGAGCTCTTTAGTACAATCAAACACAAACTTTCATTGAGGTATTGTATGCATTCCAGATATTGAACTTACTTCACGACAAGGAATTGGTTCACTTTGTGAACTAACTGTAGCAGAAATTTGACTAGCCTTCGGGCGGGATTGGAAATATTCTTCATTCTCTACCTCTGAAGCACGTGAAACAACGCCTTCCACACGTACCTACTCAGAAAATATTATTTGAAAGAATGTATCTAGCAACATTTTTGATAGCAAACATATATTAAGCTACAATGCATAAAACTTTATTTTTAACATATCAGTGAACCATAACTACCAATCTCATGGTAATTTTGTGCTTGCTGTTAAGATGTTGGTAATTTCCAAAAATTATTCCTTTACAATACTTTAGAGGCCTCAAGATAGTAGGGAAGTTTTTTTTTTAGCTCAGACAGATTATTTTGGTGAAGTTTCATGGAGTTAAGATACTTAACTCAGAGAATGAAAGTTTATCAAAATCTAAGAACTTTGCTTTACATTGAAGATGACAAATAATATGTTCTAAACCACATTTTACTATATCTACAATTAGTTTTCTCCCAGGTTATTTTAAAGAATGAGTTGATAAATTGTATGTCTGATTCTGTCCTAACTGCGGGATGCTTAACTGACTTGGCCTCTAAAATAAATCAAAACAATATAAATATACACCTACTTTTATATGATTTGACTGTCAGACTCGTATAAATTAAACTGAGTAACATTTAACACTAATGAATCAGTAACTTACAGTGTGGACATATTTACAATCTCATACAACTAAGCATCTATAACCAACACATATAACTAATTGGATACTTACTTACTTACGCTTTTTACTCCCGATGGAGCAAAGGCCGCCGACCAACATTCTCCAACCCACTCTGTCATGGGCCTTCTTTTCTAGTTCTATCCAATTGTTGTTCATTCTTCTCATGTCTGTCTCCATTTCTCGATCTTCCAGTTCTCCTTTCGCCATGAAGATTCCGAGTGAAGGCTTGTCTTGTGACACAGTTCGGTGCTTTCCTCAATGTGTGTCCTATTCACTTCCAGCGTTTCTTCCTCCACTGGGGTCTGGTTTGTTCTCTCCCACAGGAGGTTGTTGCTAATAGTGTCTGGCCAACGGATTCGAAGTATTTTGCGTAGACAACTGTTAATAAACACCTGTATCTTCTGGATGATGGCTTTCGTGATTTTTCCAGGTTTCCGCCCCATACAGTAGAACTGTCTTCACATTTGTATTGAAAATTCTGACTTTGGTGTTGGTTGCCAATTGTTTTGAGTTCCAGATGTTCTTCAGTTGTAAATATGCTGCTCTTGCTTTGCCGATCCGCGTTTCCACATCTGCATCAGATCCACCGTGTTCATCAATGATACTGCCCAAATATGTAAAGGATTTCACATCTTCCAAATCTTCTCCGTCAATTGTGATTGGATTGTTGCATGTTGTGTTGTATCGGAGAATCTTGCTTTACCCTTTGTGTAAGTTGAGACCTACTGGTGCTGAGGCTGTTGCTACACTGGTTGTTTTCTCTTGCATTTGTTGTTGCGTTTGCGATAGAAGAGCCAGATCATCTGAGAAGTCCAGATCATTCAACTGCATCCTAGATATCCACTGTATCCCGTGTTTCCCTTCAGATGTTGACATCTTCATGATCCAGTCGATCACCAGGAGAAAGAAAAAGGGTGAGAGTAAGCAACCTTACTTGACACCAGTCTTTATTTCGAACGACTTTGTCAACTGTCCTCCATGCACGATTTTGCAGTTCAATCCATCATAGGAATTCCGTATGATATTGACTATCTTCTGAGGCATGCTGTAGTATCAAAGAAGCCTCTATAGTGTTATCCAGTCCACGCTACCAACTCTTTTCTCGTAGTCAATGAAGTTGATGTAGAGTGATGAATTCCATTCACTTGATTGCTCAACAATGATCCGTAGTGTTGCAATTTGGTCTGTACACGATCGATTCTTACGGAATCCAGCCTGTTGGTCTCGAAGTTGGGCGTCTACGGGATCCTTCATTCTGTTTAACAATACCCTGTTGAAGACTTTTCTTGGTATTGAGAGAAGAGTGATGCCTCTGTAGTTCTCACATTTGCTGAGATCACCTTTTTTGAGTATCTTGATCAGGTGTCCTTCTTTCCAGTCTGTTGGTACTTGTTCTTTATCCCAAATCTTGCCGAAGAGAATGTGGATTATCTTCACAGTTACTACTACATCTACTTCCAGTGCCTCGGCTGGAATGTTGTCTGATCCTGCTGCTTTGCCGCTCTTGATTTGTCTGATGGCCATGCCGATCTCTTCAATTGTTGGTGGGCCAACATCGATTAGGAGGTCTTTGGGTGCTGCTTCGATGTTGGGTGGGTTCAGTGAGGCTGGTCGATTCAAGAGTTCTTCAAAGTGCTCTACACAGCTGTTTCGCTGTTCTTCAATGTTGGTGATTACCTTGCCTTCCTTGCTTTTCACTGGTCGTTCTGGTTTACGGTGATTTCCAGAGAGTTTCTTTGTTGTGTCATACAATTGTCTTATGTTACCTTCTCTTGCAGCCTTTTCCGCCGTCATTGCTAGATCTTCCACATATTTACACTTGTCAGTTCTGATGCTCCTCTTCACCTGCTTGTTTACTTCTGCTTATTCAGCTTGTGCCTTGGCTTTTTCTGCTCTTGTCCGACTGGTATTGATTGCTGCCTTCTTGTTCCTCCTTTCTTGAATCTTATCCAGTGTATCAACAGTGATCCATTCCTTTTGATGGTGCTTTTTGTGATCCAGGAACTCATGACATTTTGAAGTGATTGACTCCTTGATCCTCATTAGAATGTGATTACATGTCACAGATGATTAAGTCCATGTCATTTGCACTCTAATATATCAAGTAATTGGTCTCCGTGTAAATAAAATTATGCATTCATTGTAATAATCATTCAATCTATTTGTTACAATAATATGATTAAATGAATTGAATATATATCAAAGAACTAAAGCTATTGTTTATGCACCGAACATTCAAATATAATAGTATGACTATGAACTATTTGACAGATAAAAATTTATCAACAACAGATAAGAATGAATTTAACTAATGACCTTTCATTTCCGCCTGTTGTAATACATATCAATAACAGGTAGGTTTAGTGGCCTGTTGATCTGACTCCAAGTTCAAAGAACGAATAGATATGTGGTGAGTATAGAAGAGGAAGATGAAAGAACACATTGAGTCGGAAATTGGAAGCAGGCATCAAGAGGATGAGTAGCAATTGAAAACAATTAGAAAAGATTGCGCAGGACAGAGTTGGATGGAGAATGCTAGTGGGCGGCCTATACTCCTCCACGAGGGGTAAAAGGCGTGAGTAAGTACTATTTTACCATCCAATGTCGTCTGTTGAAGCAGATAGCTATAAATAATAAACGTTTTAGACATTTCAATCGATGAAGATTCACTACTAAATCAACCAATTTGTCATCCTAACCCAGTACTCTGAGTCTAACCTCATCATTATTCACTCAGTGGTCCCAACATAAGCAATGCTTTGAAAGCACTTATAATGAAATACTAATAACCTATGAATACCCGCTATTTTTAAAGGCCGACTTCCACAAACATAGAGCAGAACAAAACTAACTTCCATCCAGTATACTCGTACTCCCTTTAGATCATAAGTGACACTGGTTGAGAACGTTATGATATAACAGACGCTAATAGTTTATGCATCTAAATAAGGTCGTGAATACATTGGTGACTCTAATAATCTTTTATTCATTACAATATCCATAACTAATTCAAAATAGTATCATATATACACATATAAACTTTATTTATCCTGTACAATTAGTGCGGTTTGTATGCATGAGTGATGTCACAAAAATCAATAAAATTTTCAAATGAAAAAGATCTTAGTCAAATCCACTGATCAAGTTGGTATCCAATCAATTACCGGTAATAGCCTATCGGCTGGTAGGCTATTCAGTGAGACTTAATATTTTGACTAATCGAATTGTGATGAAAATCAAAATTCAACATTTCTAACATATTTCATATGTATGTCTAAAATATGACATGTAATATACCAGTCTAAGAACGTCATATGTTCTTTTTGATGTACACATTAATTGTACCTTTGAAAGGAATTTTCGTCTTCATATAGATTGTAATTGTGGTTTTAAAAAACATTAGAAATGTTTTAGAACAGTTACCTATCTTTCCACAAAAGTAACACTAATAATTACCATATTTTTGTTGTGACGGGAGGTGTCCGAAACCTGATACTGATACACGACGCGCTAACCTCTCTCTCCCAACTCGAGGGAGAACACGAGATTGGACGATAAAGAACATTGTGCTACCGAAAAAATATGCACGAACACTCATTTTTATATATGAATCTACCCCGCCCCAGGAAATCAATCCATTTCTTGGTCAATGAAATGCACTTATCCTTCAGGTCATTTCTAATCGCCATAGACTGACCTAACTTGGCTACTTCTGATTAGATTATCATATCAATTTTCATTACCCACAAATTTACCATTTAGTGGTTACAGACGATGTGAGTAATAATCAAATACTTATGAATTACGCCTAACTTTCATCCTTAATGATTAAGTCTCAAGAGATGCAAACTAAAACATAAACTACTAATAGTTAAATTCATCTTTTGACAAGTAGTCGAGGACCCAACCAACCTTATAAGTTGATGAGTGCTAAAAGAGCCTTTTATATTCATGTCGAGATTTCGTAGACTACCAGTTGTTTATCAGGGTCGATTTTAATCCTTAAATAAAGAATTGAGTTATTCAATTAATCGTGATTACTGACTGTTTTAAATATAATTAATTGCATTTATTTTATAGTTTATCATTAATTGGTGATCAAGACTTCTTTGATATTTATGTACATCTAAAAGAACAATAAAAGTCAATTCAATGAACAAAAACTAAATTTTTGAGTGGACTGTTCACTAGGTTTTGATCATGTAATAACATAAAAAATTACTTAAACTACAACGTAACGCTACACCTGAATCCAACTTTTAGCCACTTCCAGTTACTATCTAATGAAAATCCAGACAAATTAAAAGCCTTATTCTTTTGCTGTCGCCCGGAGGACTTTTTAACCTTGAGTATGAGGATGTTTTTCAACTGTGCGATCTGGCCTCTCCGAGCTGACAATGTTAGACAACTCTCTGTGTTTGATTAGCGTTGTCTCCAAAGGATTGCTAACATCCAGTAGCAACACCATTTTAGTAATGCAGAGGTTCTTCACCGTGTGTTGGGACACGGTGATGATGAGTCAATTGGTGTCGCTATCGTGAAACATCAACTTCGGTAGCTTGGACATGTCTTACGAATGTCTACGTAGAGAATTCCACATCGCATTATTTGCCGACGCCGGGACCGGTCGGAAAGATCAGAGAGATGGTCAGTGTATGACATGGTGTCGTGGTATGAAAGAAAACTGCACAGAACTGGTTTCTGTTGGTCCTTCACGGCGCTGTTGTTGGGGCCCTAGAGGTAATCCAAATACAGTGGCTAGAGACGTTATCAGACATGACTCAGAATAGAATCCATTGACGATCCTGCTGTAACTTTCTTTTACTTTTTTCATAAGAATGAACGTATCTTCTTTAATTGAAAGAACTCTTTTTGGTTGTCTTTTTGCTAACTGAACTGTCTCCCACCACTATTATTAGTATTATTACTTCACTCTAGTGCACTAATTCATATTACGTTTTGCTCTTTTTTATCATACTCATTTGCCCTTTTCCATTACTTTACAACCTCTTTGTTATTGTATGTTTCATATGTATCTGGTGCCCCTTGTACTAATGTTTGTGGGTTCAGATAAATAATACACTATGAGCTTGACGATCCAAAAGTTTTAGACCAATTAAATGAACAGATCATTTCGTCATCACTACTTACAAGGGAATTCGATATTCGGTTTAAAGATTTCTAATTGATCAACTGTTCTTACCTGACGTTTAAGAGGTTCCCAATAAAAAACAAGACTTGCATATGGATTATTATCAAGCTCTTGACCTTTTCTGCTATTATAATTAGTGAAAAAATGGAATCCACTTTCGTCCAATTCTTTCAAAAGAACAAACCGTACACTTGGAATACACTGCCTGACAAAAAAAGTTTCGATATAAATTGATTAATAAGTCACACCTGAGGAAATAAAAGCATCAAGTCAGCTGTGAATGAAGGATAAACACTTTTATACAAACACTAATACAATACCTTATGATAGTTCCTTTAGTGTTAAAATCTTCACCCGTATTTGTGCAACGATGTTTTTGGTTTAATCAATGTGAAATGTCTCGACAATTCAGTTCACAAACAATATTTTTATAGAAACTTTTGAGGTAAATCCCTATTAAAATTACGCGAAATTTAGTCTCATTTCATACTGGAACATGTATTTATGGTCTAATATCAAGATTATCCTGGTAATAAAGGAAGCTTTTTATAAGTATATATTTTTGATTTCATATTGATTTCCAAATAACTGGTCGGCGGCCAATGCTCCACGAGGGGTAACAGATGTACGTCTACATAACAGCTTGAAATAAAAAATGAATCGACAATATTTCTTTTAAAAATACGATAAGTATATATTATATGATGAAAGCGCGTTTACTTTCCCTACCAGTCTTTGAAACTCTGAAGTTAACGAAAATAAATCTAAGTCACAGGATAAACAAACGACTTTGAATGGAGAGAATTTCAGACCAAAATACTTGGAATACCAATCTGTACGAAAGATTTCAGAAAGAAGTTTTCGAAAGAAGTGAATAAACGTTGTCATCAATAATACGACGTTTTTTCTGGACATTGATTCACACAAACGAAGAGGTTAAACAATTTGTTACTGGATTTTCTAGGATATGGTTATCACTCAACCTTATATAAAACTAATGGAGTAACCTGGAAGCACCAAAAGAGAATGATATCTAATAATCGTAAAGTAATATGATATACTTTTGAAATATATTTAAGGATTAGTATATTTAGCTTTTTATCTTCTAATAATGGTCACCACAAAGGTTCTGATTTGCAACCCCAATCAACGGTTTGCTAATTTGAATTCTTCCCCTTTAATTAGACAAAAGCGTGTCAGAATCGTTTAATTTAATAGCTATTTTGGACAACTAGAGTCTACAAAAACAAACGTTCAGTAATTTTCAATGAAGTTAATCAATATCTGGGAAAGTGATTACTCTAAGATCAAAGAGAAATTTCAGTCAACATTGATTGTTGCTAGAAATTTTTTCTATGATTTCTATATCAGTAAACCAACGGCCGATAATCCAGCAATACACAGGCTGAAGGTCCATAACTACGTTTAATGCTAGTTATTAGCAACAAATGCTATAATTCCTTCTTAAATGCATTCGATATCTGGTGATGACTACTTTTTGAAAACTTAGTAAAGTAGCCGCTATCAGTTAATTGATAGAGTTACAACACGAATACCTAAACATTCGCATCATCAAACATAAACTAAACATCGTGAGTTTTCATAAATTCCATTAAAACTCATCGACATATGAATATTTCCTGCGAATATATACAACCGTTTCAAACATCGAGTACGTTTTAACGATTACCATACATTAGAACAAGGTCTTAGATAGTCAGTCAAGTATACCTCCATCAACTATGGAAGAGCCATAAATTTATAACATGCCAAATAATAAAGATATACGTCCATGGTTACAGATCTCCAACTTAAAACTGTACATCAAATAACTGAATATTTGCTGAATCTAACATTTCTGAACAATCGGCACATGGTTTACCATTACTTCACAAACACACTAAAAGTTTAAATTGCCTTCGAGTACAGATGTGTACTCACCCATAATTTTATGCAATTAGATCAGAATAAAATAATTTTGAATTACTGTTTGACTGCATCTCTTATACAATGGAAGTGTAGCTTATAGACATGATATAAGAAAAAAATATCACAGTAACCTACTTGCTACACGTTGCGAGAGCCATTGCATTAGGTTCAAAAACATTTTCACATTTAATAGCTTCTTCAAACCACGACTTAAACAAAAGTAAAGGATCCTTGTGCTTTAAATTTATAATATCGAATATATCATTGGATTTTCTATATGGAACTCGTAAATCTAAAATTACAGACACAATCAATAGGAGCATCTGCCAACACTTACGACTAATTTTCAGTTGGTTGTTCATGGTTGATAGACTATAGTAAAACGTTCGTAGCATAAAAAACCTAGCAACAAATCAACTGCTTCCTATGGAAATATCTTCAAACCGATAAAAAAAGCTGAAGTGCTAAGATAAAAAGGCAATGAACTTTTTAACACAAGACATAAAAATACACTTCTTCACAAAATATATTTTTGAACTTTTTTCGGTGAAATGATGTAACCTAATTTAGTAAATTTTGATCGAATCAATTTATTTGGTCCATAATGCTTAGGCAGCAAGGGGAAAATTAAGAATACCGAAGTAGCTATTCGGATTATAAGATTTTAAATCCGATTATTTCTCAGTATAGAGGTTGTGGAGATTATTAATTTTTTGATTGAGATCCCGCGAGAGGGATCGTGGATGCGCACTGCGGAGGAGTCCCACAATAGAACGAAACGACCGTCCAGTGCTTCCAGGTTTCCAACAGTGGTCTAACATCAAACGGATCATGATCTCAATCAAAAACTTAATAATCTCCACAACCCCTATACTGATAATTAACATGTGCCCACTGGTGACTAGATTCGTGAGGAAATTCTCGGAGTTCTAGTGAGAAGTCGTGACTAGTAGAGCCAATCATGTCGGGTAGAGACAGGTATCTACCTCACTATAATGGAAGATGGTCGCGCGATTTCGTGGAATTGGTTGATGTTAGACACTAACACCATCGAATGCCGGCTCAGTGGTCCAGTAGGTTAAGTGTTCGCGCGCGAGACTGAAGGCCACGGATTCAAGTCCCGCTAGCGGGATCGTAGACGCGCACCGTTGAGGAGTCCCACAATAAGACGAAACGGCCGTCCAGTGCTTCCAGGTTTCCAACAGTAGTCTAACATCAATCGGTTCACGATCTCAGCCAACAACTTAGTTCTTTTGTATTTGCACGAATTCGTTATTAATTTACGGCTTTACTACATGCTGCTGAAAGGTTAGCCAACTAATAGTAATGAACATCAGTACATGGTTCAAGACTTAACTAAGTGCGATTCCGGAGGGGTATGTGACTAACTATAGAAATTCGTTATAATTCATTACTTTCTTAGGTTTGTGTAGCGATGCTCATTACATATGAACAATCAGACGTACACAGCCTTCTTGTCCACGATTAATTACTACGCACAAGCATCAGGTAACAGGGGTTACAACTGTGTAGCGAAATCATGTCTGCAGAAAATTTAAATATCTTGTCCTACGTGACAAAAGAGAAAATTCTTGACCACTTCTATACTTATTGTGCGATTATAACTAGTCTCCATTAAAAGACAAATAGAACGGAGAAATACTTACCTTCAATTAGTGTGCTATCACGGCTTACATCAATATATATATATATATATATATATATATATATGATTTGGAACAATGAACTAGAATCAATCGAACTTTGACTTGCCCTATTTTCTTACGATGTGCCTAAATTCCTTCCGCTTTCGTGTTTATGCATAATTTTAGCATTCATTCCTTTACCCCTATTGTTAAATCGACGCTTTGTCAAGGCATTTTGGTAATCCTCTCATTAAATATGATTAAAGTTGGCATATTTATATGTAATCAGTTTTCAATTTACCTATCCTTAATACTTTATCTCACTTTCAATTGCTTAGTAAATCATTCGACATTACTTCTGTAATCGCTCCTAAGAATATAACACTACAAATCACTATTACTTAATTAATATTTTATCATTGTAAAACGTCTTAGAGCGGAGAAATAATGAGAAAGTAATAACAAGATGTTATCAAGATTATAAAATGCCAATGAATTTCGGAGAATCCAGTGGTGGCCTTCAGAATAATCAATGGGAATACAATTTTCGCGCAAGATGATATAAGGTGACAGAAATATGGAGGATTGGAAGTCTGAAAACCATTTATGGTCTTATCAATGCTAAATATCAAAACTTCAGGATTGATACCACTTTTTCAGTAGGAACGGACCCAGAATTTTAGCTGTACATCTTTGAAAACGTAACTCCCAAACCGAAAGTCCGAGCATAACTCCTAACATTAAAACTTCATAACCCATCCTTCTAATCCTAAAACTACCCGATTCTACAACATAACTACAAAACTTCTCAACATCTGAGCTCCTTAAAACTGTTTATCAAACTGTTTGAATTGCCTATTTGCTTTATGTTTTTTCATGTATTACGTAAATCAGCAACCTTAAAGTTCTCAAATTCTTAGCATAAAAGAGATTAAATAACCAATAGGTACTATACCTTAATTTTCCGAAAGACTACTAAAAAGTTGTTGAATCTTTGAAGTGTGAGGAACCCAACCCGAGCTACCAACTTTGGGGAAATTCTGGGGTATTTTGGGGAAACTCTCGAGGTCAAATGACCTTGACCAAGGTCAAAGAGGAATTTTGGGGAAATGGCACGAAAACCCCAATATTTCCCCTGACTTTAGGGTTTTTCCTCAAAATCCCCCCAAACGTTGTGGTTTTTATCCGCGGATAAAAATTTTCCTCAAAATAGGGAGATTGAGAATATACAGTAGGTGAATCGACGACTCAACAAGCGTACACAATACACTCACAATTAATAACGAAATCACTTGTGAACAATCAGAAGTAAAGCAGGCATCATATTAAAATAATATTATGACCAAAATCGAAAGCTGACATTTCAACAAAACGGTATATTAAAAACCCCCCAAGGGCATTCTATGCGTTGCTTAATTCTCGCACTGTAGTTAAACTTCAACTCATCAGTTTTGATGAATTGTAGTGATTCGGATTTGGTTTAAAGTTTTTTGAAGGGCTATAGATAGCGTAAAATAAGAAAAAAAGGAACAAAGAAATTTGAGCTAAGTTTGAAAGGCACGAATGAGCAATATCAAGTAACCATCAAGTGATCAACACTTGAAACTATTAGAAAAGGTTCATTACCACGAGTTCAAGCAGGGAATTTAAAAGCCTACTTGCCATGTTCATCTTGCGGACAATTAAAAAAACACACAAAATAAAAGTCATAAAAATGTGCCTAATCCATCCGTGTTACTAACAGCAAAAAATTTTTTATTTCTCCACAAAATGTGTATATAATTAGTTATGTTTTGCACCTTTACTCTTACTTATGTTCAGAACGGGTTTCGTGGATATTATAGTAATTTCAATGGTTGAGATCATGAGTTACTTGAAGCTAGACCACCATGGAAAACTTGGAACCACTGAATGGCCGTTTTGTTCTACTGTGGGACCCCTCAGCAAGGCGCAACACAGTTATTAATGAGTGAATTTTTGACTAGTCGAAAATGAAGGCAGCTGCCTTCATTCGTTGTTTAAAAAGCTTTTTTTCTTGCAAAAATAGCAAGAAACTCGCAGTTTATTATCATTTTAATTTCAAGACGTTATTGTTATATCCCAATAAGAATAGCGAATGGTAACTTTTGAGGACTACTTATGAACTTATACTATGCACATATTCTTGTCGTATGATTGTCAAGTAACTAGACTATGTATATTTGTAAGATCTTTTTTGAATGTTTTGTGTATGAAAATCCCTCCATGTATACACTTGCGGTTTATTCTTATGTTTCCTTTAGTTGTACATTGTTAGTCTTTTTGATTTCATTTGAGTTGTCAAAATTTGTATTTTATTATAGTCTTTATTATCTTCCCGAACTGCATTCATGTTGATTTACTTGGTGGCAGCCATATTGGTTTGTTCCTCTCTTTGATTGAGTTGCTTGTATTGACTGGAATTGTGCACTTTTGATTGTGAATTGAGGCACTCTTCCGGAATCGGAAACACTCTGTGTTATGAAGCAACCAAATATTATCGTTTGAACGAATCTGTGTGTAGTCTGTCCAGACAGGATAGGACAGCATTTATTTGTTTCGATCGATTTGAACAATCGAACAATTTTTGGTTGAGTAGCTGGGTGGCCATATCTGTTCAAGTGACAATGTACATTTAAATTTATGATGAATTTTAGAATCGTCATTTTACCCAATTACTTTGTTTTGGTTTCAACCGGGAAAGAGCGCGTATCTAACCCACCTAGATAACTATTCTTCAGTCCAAACCTTAGTCTGGATCCTATATATTCATATTATTCTTATTATAAGCCTTACGTAGACATATAGACTATTACAACACTATTTACCATTCTTAAGTTATGTCCAGTTTATTAATTACACTCCCCACAATCTCAGTCACATTCAGCTTCATCTAGTATAAATGTGATTTCCTATTTTATAGTGTGATGTTGTCTACATGGCTAATATATAATCCATGTATGTTTGAAGTAAATGGTTCGTGTAGTGGAGTCTGGTATTGGTGTTCTGGTTTCAAATGGTAGGGGTAGGAAGAAATAGAACTAATAAGGACGCTAGGTTGCTTATACAGATCAATATATCATTGGTTTGGCACAGTGGTAAGATTGTATAAGTAGTATTCCGGCTGACGGATAAGTCACATGATAATTAGCCGGGCGAAATATCACAACACGTATTATACAACACTAACACGCATGTAGTATATATACATCTATTAGCACAATGTTTTTCCTGTGGAATATGTGATGATCAGCAGTCTTTGAGTTATTATATAACTAGGATTCCCCTGAATAGTGCGATTAAAACTATACAGAACTTGGCGAGCACAAACAAAACTATTATAATAAGAATTCGATATTGAGCCCGCATCGAATACAAAAGGATCATCATTTCATACGAACACACCAGGTGAATAGAAAGACAGCAGTTAACAACAGCCAAACAAGTACAGGGAATTTCAAAGCATGAACTGAATACACAGAAGTTGACTTTCAAGTGAAAAGTAAAATTAGCTCCGACGAGCAGAAATACGTCGAACACCTACTAGTGACATAGGAAAAAGCTGCAAAATAAGGAATTATCAAACATTTATGTGACACAGCGAATAAACTGACAAGGAAATATAATAAACCCGAGAGGTCGGTCAAGAACATAGAAGAGAAGCCAATCACTAATATTCAAGGAAAAGTTTTTAACAGAGGGTTACTGAACAGGATGAAAGATTCACCAGATGTTTAGCTTCAAAATCAACAGAACGGATTCCATGAGGACTGGTCGTGCACACAACAAATCACGACACAACGGATCATCGTTAAACAATCAATTCAATGCAACTCGCCATTATACTTCAACCACCACGATTATAAATAAGCATTTGACAGTGTGTATTCGAGAACATTTTGGAAACTTCGTCGACACTATGGTGTGAGCAGCTAGGAATATTGTGTAGCGGTAAATAATTCCCCGAAATCAAATAGCTCTGTAAGTTTTCGACATCGGATGCTGACCACAGTTTTAGTGGACTCATCTGGCTGAAGGCGCTCGGTCAAGCATCCGCACCAGATCACGTGTGGGAACTCCGTGCTCAACATCTGCCGCAATCGCTAGCCAGATTAGTGCAAACGATCCTCGATATATTGATAGCTTGTCAAATATATCTTCGATTTCCTCACTTCTGTCTTTTGATTTTACTTGGTGGGTGCGCTTCGTATTAGAAGGTGTTACTGGTTAAAGCGTTGTCAAACTCCGAATACCTGTGGCATCTTCATTGGTGAGCCCGGCGTGATCTGGTACACCATATTGTAAACTGTGAGTCTGTTCCTTTTTGTGATTTTATACATCATTGTCTTATTTTAATTTCTTTTTTTACATTGTGATATTTTTTCCGTGTTTTTTGGGTTTATATATATATATATATATATTTCCCACTCGTTCACTTTTCGTACTTGGTATATTACTATGACTGAACAGACCCCTAAAGTATTTAAGTTAAAGACTGTGTCCCCACCTTCTTTCCAACTCATGCCTTTCTGGTCAGACAACATCGAAGCCTGGTTTTGTTACGCAGAAGCCGACTTCTTCGAGCACGGTGTGAACGATACATGTACACAATTCCTCGCAGTAGTCAAGGCACTACCGCGCGAATTTAACAGGTACGTAACACCTAGTATGTCTATTAGTGATGTTTCTGATCCATACCAAACCCTGAAACATGCCATCCTTAAACGCGGAGATCTAGCCGATCGACAAAGGTTAGACCAACTCCTCAACAACATCGACCTGAAACACGGTTCTGCCACAGACATGTTGCAAAGAATGCGAGAAGTCATGGGCCAAGGAACCTTCGATGATGGCCTATTCAAACAACTTTTCTTATCCAAACTTCCTCAACAGGTGCAAGCTGTTTTGGTCTCGTTCCAAAACAACGCCGTAGACGAGCTAGCTGCATCTGCCGACCGCATTCTCGAAATCACTAGATCTCCTAACGCCGAGGTTTTTTCAGTCAAAGAAAAGCCTCAAACGACCCAGAATGACATAACACAGTTATGTCATACACATACGCGTTATCTCAAACTCTGTAACGACCGTAAACGATCACTTACTCCGCGGAAAAGCACATCACATAGGCGATCTGTATCTAGAACTCGAGAGACGGATAATCCTGATTGGTGCTGGTACCATAACCAGTACGGAAAATCCGCCAGAAATTGCAGAAAACCCTGCAATTTTCCCAACGCGAAATCGGTCGACGCAAAGAACGTTTCGGGAAACCCAAGCCGGCACGCGTTAACGGCGACCGTAGCCGGCGAACATAGCCGTCTTTTATATGTCACCGATGTGATAACGAGAGTTCGCTACCTCGCCAATACTGACGCAGAGGTTAGCGTTCTCCCAGCGAATTCCAACGACCGGCTACACGAGCCTGTTTTAAATCTACAGGCGGCAAACGGAAAGCCTATCGCTACGTATGGCAAAAGGTATGTTTATCTTAACGTGGGTTTATGCAAATCCATCCTCTGGATCTTTGTTGTTGCGGATGTTTCTATGCCAATCATTGGTATGGACCTTCTACAACACCTCAACTTAATTATGGATACGCGCAAACGATGGTTAGTAGACGGAAACACTAATTTATCTGTTTGCCTGACTTCTTTTTCTGGTTGCAGGTTATCTCCAGTCACTATTAAGCACACTATAGACCCCTTCTACCAACCACTACTCGATAAATATTCTGGCATTTACCAATCGCAACCGAAATTGCCGTGTGTAACCAGCAACGTTACACATCACATCACGACTACAGGACCACCTGTCTTCTCGAAAGCACGCCGACTGGCCCCCGAAATATTAAGGTTGGCGAAAAACGAATTCGACCATATGATAAACTTAGGAATCATACGACCGTCAAATAGCCCATGGGCATCTCCGTTGCACATGGTCTCTAAAAAGGACAGCAACGATTGGCGTCCAACTGGTGACTATCGGAGATTGAATGCAAAAACCATTCCCGATCGTTACCCGTTGCCTCACGTTCACGATTTGACAGCTACCTTGAAAGGTGCAACTGTCTTTTCAAAAATCGACTTGGTAAAAGCGTATAACCAAATTCCTATGGCCACTGAAGACATTCCAAAAACCGCTATTATAACGCCCTTCGGACTCTATGAATTTTTGCGAATGCCTTTCGGTCTGAGAAACGCGGCACAGACTTTCCAAAGGTTCATAGATGACGTTTTTCGAGGTCTCAACTTCGTACATGCATACGTTGATGACTGTCTAA